GACTCATCCAATAATCGTGACATTCAGGACATACATACATATACTATACACGTACAAATAGCATTAATATTACAAGTTTAATGTATATTTTTTCCATCAACTAATAGAAATTGGAATTTTTCTCATTTTTCACGGCATGCTTCTGTTTGCGCAGGACTGAAAGGCTCTTAGTCTCCACTTCTCTAATTCCACCATAGCACTACTTCTACCTCAGACTCACTTTCTTTTTTGAACAAGATTTCTCTTTGAATTTAGTAAAAAGGAATGCCAGAAGAAAGAAAATAATAGAAAAAGGACACATGTGCACAAGCTGTTCAGCAGTCATGCTTTTCAACTTCCGACAAAACAGAAGCATGTTGTCCACGTTGAACTTTAGCCTTTTCTCTTTCAGAAATTCATAAAGACATCCTCTTCTTTCTCTTCTTATCCTTCTTCTCTCTCTCTATGCCTTGTTAGACTCTTAACATCCTTTCTTCTTGTGCTCAATTCAATTAATCGCAAAAAACTGTTGCATCAATCTTATGCTATCCCAATATAGCAACATGTGAAACGATTTCTCTTTGCTTTTCATCACCTGAAAAAGCGTTTTCATTCTCAACTTTCTAACGTGTTACTTCTTCCGCCCGAAATAGTTCAGATTCTTCAAACAAAAACAAAACTGTTCAACATCTCCAATCATTTTTGGTAAAAGTTTGTTTTCTCATTTTCATTTTTTCCTTTTTGTTCGGATCGAATGCTTCCGATAGTCGTCTTGACCAGACTTTTTGTCATCCATAGATGGTATCTGTCGTCTTCACAGCATACCAAGTCTTTCATCCTGAGTCCTCTCGACATCAAAGTTCGAATTGCATTTTGTATGCTAAATAGATCAGAAGAGATGTTTCATTAGAATCTTCAGAATATTCTCCACTGATCGAAATTCTATTTTTTCCGTTTCTCGAACATTTTTCTTTTTTTTTCCTTTTTGACCGATTGAACGACAAAATTTTATTTGAAAACATTCTCATCCAATTTCGGATGAGTTGTTGCACTTGATGACGTCTCTTGCACTTTTCCTAGATGGGCTACAGAGGATCAAAGCAACCAAAGCAAACGATTCACATTCCTGTTCCGTTGCATCTTTTGCAACTTCCGGTCTCTTTCTGAAACTTCTCACACTTTTTGTTATTCCGGTCATCATCCTCTCTTACCGCTTCAGGCACACATTGCGGACAAGATTCATCACACCGTTTACAACGACGTCCGCTACGTCAGATTGTCATTTCATTCCCTCTTTTCGTCTTTTCAAAAGACTGGAGTCCGTTTGCACCGGAAAACCGGGAGTTGATGACGTCGTCAACCGGAATCCAGTTTTTGCCGTTTGCGTGCTTTGAGTCCACGAGCGTTTAACGTGAGCACCTTGCTCATGTTTGTGTTTCTCTCTTTGGCTTTCTCTCTTCGGGTATCGTCAAATTTCTTTACGACGTCGTGAAGAAGCCGTTTGTCTCTATTCTGAAACACTTTTGGAGACGAATGGAACGTCCCACTCTGACTATAGTTATTCGGCTCTTACCATATTCTCACTTTTCTTTTTTATCACTAAAACTGTCATCATATATTTTTCTTTTTGTTCTCAATCTGCTGACGCCTATCTCTTGCATTGTTATCACAAAAATGTGTCTTCTAATTCTCTTATTAGAGCATTCTGCGTGTATTCGATGGAAAGAATGAGAACTGTACAATTGAGCCAGATATGCTTCTGTTCTCTTTCTCTATCTCTCTCTCTCTCTGCTCCACTCTCTCTATCTGTTTCTAATTTTTATTATACTTTTGTTTCTTTCAAACAACATGAAATAATCTCTTGCTATCTTTTCTCCCTTTTCACCCATCTCTCTGTTTCTCTCATACATCCTGTGTGTTCTGATTGTACTGTTTATTCATTGGCGCCATTGTGAAAATCTTATCTCAGGCCATATGTTGCTCTCTTCTGTTACCTTCAGGACATTCACCGCACAACATATCTTACTATAAACGTTTGATAAAATGAAAGAAACAAGCCCATATATGGTCGTTTCGTGATAATCAAGTTCCGCCTCTTTTAAAAATACTAAAAATTGTCTTTTTACCTTTAAGATCTGGAAGGAAATTCATTTTGAAATGACGATGGATGCTTTCTAATCTTTCTTCTTATCTTTTCCATATTTTGAGAGCTGCAAAACAGCAACTATACTAAAAGTCATTACCCTTTGGACTTGATATCCCAGAAAACGACTGGCACTATAGTTGAAGGTGTCATTTCTATTACGAGTCCTATATGCCCCTCCCTCAATAACAGTACCCACTCATGATATGTGCTATGCTCACTCTGTTTATCAAAAATATTAAAAATGCTCTGATTTTAAGAGGCAAACTGATCTTTTTTGTTCGATGAATGATAAAAGTTTCTGCTGCGTTTCAAGCATTGTACTTTCCGCATTCAGCCATAGGTGATAGCTTCGAATCATGTGTATACGTATGTGTGAGAGATAGAAGGAGAGCTTGTTTCGCAACTAAGATCTCAGATAGATTTCCCCTCACATTCAATTTATATTATTTTATATTTATTTTACATTTAGTCAACTTAAATATGATTGAATTTGGACATTCGATGACTTATTTAAAAAATCTTTTGTTCATTTCAAAATTGCTTTTGGCCATTATAAAGGAGCTTTCTGTACTTTCTTCTCAAAGAATTAACTTATTTCTCAACACAAAAAGCCTTTCCAAATATATTTCTTCTCTCTCTCTCTCTTTTTTTTTTCGTCCACTTTGTTGCCAACCCATACATACTACTTCCATTTATTATTTTTTCTTTTATATTTTATAATTTGCGTAATAGCTGTTTGTCTGTCACCCCACGATGACATGTTTTGATCTTTCGGCCTTCTTCAAATGAAAAATTCGTTTAGATAGCGAGCAAGGTTCAACCATTTTCATGTACTTTACAACTCTCTCCACCCCCCCGTCTCTCTCATCAAGTTTTGCTCTTTTTTCATCCATTTCTTTCATAATATTTCTCATTTGCGACATTAAGAGGGTTCAGTCAGAAGCTTATTTCTTTCCATCTTTCATTATTCTAACGAACGTTCTGTTTTCATATTTTTTTTTCTTTTACTTCTTATTTTTCTCATTCATTCTCATTACCATATGAACATCTGAACGAGCTCAACCCATATTCTCACGTGCACACGTGAAAGAAACAATTTCTTAAAAAAGCATACGTGAGAGCGGTTGTATTTATTTATTTATTTTTTCAAATTCAAAGCTAATTGCATTTGTTTTTTGCCCTTTAATGAGAGCAAACTATAAATATTCATATAGTTTACTCATCGTTAACTATATCCCTCTCTTTTCCTATAAAAAGGAACATTTTTATTGCCTTTCTCATTCCTTATTACTGATTATCTTTGCTAATATTATTCAATCAAAATACTGTAAGTGGAGGTTGAGCAGAGAACGAAACGTTGTCGTCCAATACACACAAGGTGCACTTTTAAAAAGAACAAGTCAAAACCACAACGATCTATGCACTTTATTTCTCTGATCGTCTGGCGTCTCCACTTTTTGTGTCTCATTTCTCTCAACCCTTTTTTTCTTTATTTTTGTTCTCAACGTTTTTAACCAAAAACTTTTTAGTTCATATTGAATTTGAAGTTTCTGTTACTCAATTGACTAGAAGACAAATTTTTTTTGTCTGTATGTCTGTATGTGTGTGTATGTATGTATGAGTCTGTATGTGTGTATGTGTTCCTAAAATTCAAAATTCAGCTTTCGAAAAGTTTGTAAACTTCCATTTCCTGTAAAATGCCCTCCTCCCTTTTCCCTCCCACTTTTCTCTTTTCCTACGAAACTGAAGATCAGATTTTCTTATCAGCTGGTCATACTTTTTAAGCATGTACGTTATAATGACATGAGATAGTCTTCAATATTTTCTGTCAATGTTGCTATTCCTTTGTGATAATATCAAGTTAAGCTTTTACTCTTTATTTTCGTCTCACTCTCTCAGCAGTCATATTTTTAGATTGTCTTCTGGGCTTCTTAATAATTTTTTTCTTGTCTTCCATCAATCTCCTAGGCTTCCCCATATTGTCAATATTGAGCCCTTTGAACTTGCATGTACCATATATGTATCGAACTTCTGCTACCCTCTATTCTCCCCCTCTCTTCATCATGTGGCCGTTCCGTTCAGAAAGAAAAACACATTACAATCCTTTTGGCGACTTTGAAAGCTGAAGATTTTCTATTTCTTGCGAATATTTTTCAAAATATTTCACGTCATTTACAATTCGTTCTCTGTCCTATATATTCTTCCTATAAGAACAACTTTTAAAGCAGATGGCTTCTGAGATGTTTTGGCTGCATTCTGTGTGTTTTGCAATTTATTGTTTTCAAATCGAATCCTCCATTATCTTAGGAGTTTTTTTATCATTCATTTCAGACTTCCATCTTCTACTCATGTTTTTTCTGTCTTCTCTTCCAATCTTTTTTTTTCTGTTATACAGCTCATGCTCCATGATGCTAACCCAGTGGTATGAGAGATAGGCCGTTCGTCTCATGGATAAGCCGCGGCACTATTACTCAATTTTTTCTCAACTCAACTGATAAAAGCATTTCTATTATCATGTTTTGCTCTATTTGTTTTATTTTTCCTTAAAAATATATATCAGTATGCTTCTCACGTGTTATGTTTCAGCTATTATTCGTTTCGTTATTGATAAGACGTTTGATGTAGTTTTTAGTTGAATAGCGAGGAGAGTGTTGAAGTTAAAAGAGCTTTCCTCTCTCAGGCTCTCTCTGTCATTCTCTCTTCATTTCCTTGCTTTTCTTATCCCATAATTCCTACACATGCATGAGTTTCGGCCATAATTCATCGCCCGGACGAACTTCTCTTGTTGTTTTTCTTTATATGGCAAACGTTTCTTGATGTTTTCGTTATGCGTTTCTTCTTTCTCTATAACTTACTGATTGTTTCTTCGTTTCAGATGGACTTCCTGTCATCTTCACAACAGACAGGCCTTTTGTCATCAGCAGCCGCAGCTGCTGCAGCTGCCGCTGTCGCCGTAGCCGGAGTCCAACAGCCGACTTCAGAAGAAAAAGATCTTTTAGCCGTAATTGAAGCCAACGTTCGCCCATCAGATACATATGAACGACCATCTCTTAGCTACAAGGATTTAATTATCGAAGCCATTGAAAGTAGTCCCGAAAAAAGGCTCAAACTCAACGAGATTTATCAGGTTCGTGTTTTTACTACTTTTCGTGCGCAGTTTCTGCTGGTCCTTGTCATGCCCAACTAAAATAAAAAACATTGTCATCAATTTTTGCATTTCCACCCCATGAGTCATATTGTCCAGCGATGCTTTTTTTGTCCCCAGCTTATCTTTCAATCACAAAACTATTTTTTTTCTTAATTCGCCCCGATGACTCTTCCCAATGACATCATTGTCTGCTTGGGCTCCAAACAGGCGTGGATGAAACTTCTTGAACTTTGCTAAGACTTCTGACTGTGCTTTTCTTATGTTTATATTATGGAAACTTCACAAAATCCTCTCCGTTTACATTTCATGTTCGCATTTGATCGCATCGGCTCAAGTCTTCCACTCCAAACTTTAACAAAATTAAACAACATACTTTTTTTCTCCGGAAAACTAGGAGGGAAATGGTCTTCAGCAAGCTTTTGTTCAGAAAATTGCAGAATAACTTGCGAGATTTATTTCCTTTAATGCATTCGAGCACATTTTCCGAAAAGACCTGTTTTTCTTCCAAATTCCTATCAAAAAAAAGTTCAATACGATTTGCAATTTCCTTACTTGCCTTTTTTGAGTTTGTCAGAGATGAGTTTGCATTGGGAAGCTGAGCCACCTTCCAAAACAATCTTTGTTCTCGGAGTCGTTATGTTTAAGTATTTGGTCTTTTAATTCCTGTACTTTTGTTCAATATCGGCGGGGACTTCATGTTCGCTTCGTTTTCTGAAAGATTCACGATCAATTTGATTATTTTTTTATGATGTTCTCCTCTCTTTCTAACTCAAATGTTGCATAGACGAGTCATCGAACTTTATGTAAGATGTTCAGCTTTCCTCTACATTCAAACCCTGAACCTATTCCTCTACGGGACCACCGGCTACACTGCTATTGCTCTGAAATTTATTCGTGAAAGAAATTAAATATGCTCATTTCAGGTTATTCGCTTGTTACACCCATACTACCGTCATCGTCCAGATCAATGGGGATGGCAAAACTCCATTCGCCACAATCTATCTCTCCACGATTGTTTTGTGAAACTACCATTGAAACAAACATCCGCCAGCGGAGTTGTAGGTAAGTATGAAATCTTCATTTTCCCTTTTTCTCTTAAAAAAGACCATTATTGCTTTAAAACAATATTGTTTGTGCAAAGGAAATGTCAGGCGGTCAACGTTCTTTAGTCTTTTTTACAATTTTATTTCTTCTTTTTTTTTGTTTCACTCAATTTACTTTGAAAAACAAAAGATCGCCCCCCCCCCCTCCATCATCCGAGCATGGAAAATAACAAGGGAGTATGGAATGCGGGGCTGGAAATCTGATTAAAAAGCACTTTTTCCGAGATTAGAGAAGAAAGTTTTTTAATTCATTTTTGCTGATATGGACGTTTCCATCCTAAAAGATTCCTCGACATGTCTGTCGTCATGAAATTGTTTACTCGTTTTTGACTGACTTTTCTTGTCTTTTGACCACTAGGGAGATCAAAAGCCAAAGCTTTTGCATCTGAGTTGTTTCCCCAAACAGATCAATTAATCTCAATCTTTCTGTTGGAACAATAAGAAACATGAAAACATCTATGGGGTCAATCCAATCTTCGTTTTTTTCTTCTAAATATGAATTTTATTAGCTTCAGGCCATTTCTGGACCGTAGTCCCAGAACTAAGTGATAAGCAGACTTTGAGAAGACGGAACCGTCAAGCTACTCGTACTGCTTCTCGGACCAAGACTATCGAATCTATGGGTGTAAAAGAAGAAACTTCAACATCTTCTGGTGGAAGCTCTCCTACGCCATCTACAACTTCTATATCTCCACCTAACGATTTGCCCAAACCTCAAGCCAGCTATGGAAATCTGGATCTATTGAACGCTGCTATTAATGGTGAAAATAACTATGGACATTCATTACTGCAAGCTTATTTGTATCAACAAGGTATTTTGATTCTAATATTTCATCTTCAACACATCATTTGTTTCAGGACTATTAAATATCCAGCAACAGTTGGTAGAAATGGCCACAAGCGGAAATAATCCTTTGGCAGGTCTGGCTGCAGCAGCGAATCCCTTATCGGTGAATCCATTGCTAGCCTTAAGCCTAGCAGCGAATAACCTGCAAACCCTAAGTGCCCTGAGTACGCCGGCTCCTACGTCTCCCATCAATCCTATCAAACAGGAGCCAGCTTTTATGCTTTGATTTTTTCTCCTCGTACGAGTTTTACTTATGTTGACCTTCTATGGAAGCTTTACAAAGCTCACATATTCAAAGCTTCCCGGGATTCAAAAACTACTGCCCTCCTATTATGAATCAATCATCCACTTTTATCCCAAATTCATATGCTAAGATTAATAATTTACAATAGTCTACAGTTCCTTCTATGGCAACAATTTCTATGAACCAAATTTTTATTGATGCCGACTGTGTCGGAATCGGGTTTTTCCAAGTTGAGCATTTCTCGACTCTCGTTATCTCGTTATAGGCCAAATTGGCGAATGAGCTAGATGCTGCTGAAGCTTTTAGTAGACCTGTCCATTCCACTCATAGGCCCGAATAATGTTATACCAAAAGCAAATTAATCAAAACTTTCAAGAAATCAGATGAACTGTTACAATATTCGCGGAGGGCTTGTTTTCCTGTATTCCTGCTGAGCCCTTTCCCCTACCTCACTTGTGAAGTCTCAAAGCACGATGAGCAAAGTTTCAAATCTTTTAAAACAATTCTTCTGTAAATTTTCTTGCAATTTGCCAATTTCGGCTTTTAACTAATAAGCAATTTCTTTTTTTTGTTATTTTTATGTGAAATTTTAACTTCCGCCACAGCCTGCTTCTCCTTATCTCTCCCTCTCTCCCTCACTCTGTCTATCTTTCTCTCTCTCTTTTCACTCTCATTTTCATATTTTACGTTTATGTTCTCGTCCTACCCGTCTTCTGTCTTCCGGTTTTTCTGAATAGTTAAAATTTCCTTTATTAAGTAATTTTTATAGCTGGAGCCCTTAAAGGAAACTAGCTCTCTTAGCATTCTGAATACATGTTGTTGCGCCGGTTGTGTATTATTTTTTTTGTCTCGGTGTTTCTAGCGATCGATTTCGTTGATTGTTGATCTCGTGTTCCACGATTCGTTTAAAGATGTACTATTCGTTCGAAAAACCCGTAATAAGTGTCTATATAGAGTAAAGGAATAGCCTTAGTAAAAGCTGGGTACCGCAGCTTTCGTCTAAGCATAGCGCTAGTGTGATAAAACCGTCGCCACAAATTTTTATCTTTTTTTTTCAACTTTTATATCCTCGTCCATAAGTTACTGATGTCTAAGCTAACAATTGGTCCAACGGAACTCTTATTTTCCTTTCATATGCAACAATTCCCTCCACTTATGGTCTAATCTTATGAAATGAACCCATACCTTTTGTGGTATGCTTGCCTCCAGATGTATATTTCCTTCTTTATGTACTTAAAATTCCTGAAGCCTATGAACCGATGTTTGTTAGACCAGTATCAAACCGGTCACCGAGCAATCAATTGTTGTCGTTATTTTATGTCCAGAAAATAAAATGTAGTTTTATCAGAAAAAAGTTTATTTGAACGAAATTTATCGAACCACACTTACGAAAACATGCAGAGTACAAGAGAAAAGTCATTATATGACGTTTAATTCCAATATAGACTACGAGAGTTAGATCACTTGAGTCTCTTCTTTGACAACTACGTTATCAACTTCCATTTGCAGATATCCAAACATTCGAGTTGTATCTGCATTCAATGATATATTTTGCTGAACTAAGGGAACATCTTCTTCCATCCATACATCAAGAGGAACGCCATTAGTTTCACACCAACCAATGGGGAAGATATCCGGAGAGCTGAAAAAAAAAGAATTTTGCAATAAGAATAAAACTCTTACTCTATGTCAACTAGCTGATCATAATCCTCACTCCAACCATCAAATGATATCAATAATAACCGCCCACAATGCCGTTTGATCGTTGCGGGACAAATAGCATTCTTTTCAATTACGTCAAAAGCTTCGATTTTTCCTCCGATCTAACAAAAAAATAGTTAAGACAGGTGTCTGCTCAACTTACAGGGAAATCTCTCAACCTGTCCGGAGAGGGGTCAGGTTTGAACAAACACAACGGTGCTGCAACCGAGTTGGTTGCTCTCAAATACCGATCCCAGTCAAAACTTCTCACATCTGATGACAACGCAACATGTTCACTAAGTTCTCATTCAAAATTACCAGGAGGAGTCTGTAATTTTATGCTGTTTCGCTGAGCATATCCTACTGGGAACAATAATGTAGAAAGTGAATGAACAGGAAAGATGTCATGCTCCGCATCAGGACCATCAAGTGAAATGAGTAAGTAACCATCCTGAAATACAGTTTTGACAAGGTGAACAGTACATGGCAGAACAAACTTCAAATACTTTATGCACAGTTGCAACATGAAGTTCATTATTGCATTGGCTGAAAGGATCCTGAACTTCCAGCTTCATTCGTCTAGTGAAAAATTCAAACTGTCTAAACTTTGCCTAAAAAAGATATAACGTCAAGTGGGTTTGATATCACGTACTTCGTGCGTTGCTATATCAATGAGAGTCTCTCTACGTAAATCATGCGGTAAATAAGGAGGAACTGCACCCTGAAAAGAAAGACCAATCATTTGGATGCTTAGACCAAGTACTAAAAACCGATTTTAAAGCCATTGCAACAGACCTACAATGGTCTAGGTAGGAATCTTTTGCAGAAATAGCATATCCATTTAGAGTGGCCCATCCCACATAGAAAAGATAGTTGTTGAACTTATCTAGCCATACATAATACTCAGTCTGCAATCTGGAATTATGAGAACTAAGACTGTATGAGTTACCTCATAACTTTTTGTTTCTGTGACTGCTACGCATAGCCGACGGCCGACAATACTTTTGATCATTCCAACTCTAACTTGGCACCCGGCAGCTAGAGAGGAGCAATCCAAAATTTCACAGAACATTCCCTCCTTCAAGAAAAACATTAAATTCAATAGAAAAAGAATATAACATACTCTCATTCCACTATCATAATTGGATATAACTTTATAGTCATCTTCTCTATTGTCTCTTATTTGATTTGGCGTTATACTAGCAGGTTTTAAATTATAACTACAACTGGTCAACACAGCTTGTGGAGCTATGAGCTTGAAATTCTCATTAGGGATATTAGTTCTGGAACTAAAAACTTAGCTGAAAATTAACACAAAGCATCATACGCTAGAATTAAAGATTTATCACTTATATTCATCCATCTGCCAGATACTGAAGGATCGTTTTCTACTCCTAGCCATTTCACATATACATAGAGTCCAGCAACCTAAAGAGAATGTGAACAGAAGCTTTTGAAGATAAACCTCATGTATCCTGGCTATCCATCCTATCTTGTTATGCAAATGATCAATAGTGTAAACAACAACAATTATTAACTAAAATACATTTGAAAGATCAATAGTTCAAATCACGCTCACGTCTTTACTGTCTAAGAGTTGCTTGTAGTAAGGAAGATCCAGGTGCCTAAATGCACTCAAATGTGGAACGTTAAGGGAAAGCATTGATCGATCGACATCTATTTATGAACATAACTGAATGTTAAAAAAAAAAACGATTGCCTACCAGGGAGCGTCGACTTCCAAAGTGTTGAAGCAGCATCTTTCCGTCTTCGCTCAATGTCCATTATATTGATCTGAAAAGATTAGAGTGATTTTGAATACATCGTGAGTCAATTTCGCAACAGTTCGTCTGTACGTTGGACTGATCGTAAATTGAAAATTATGACTGAGCTTCCTTAACTTTCACTTATAAACATTCACGTGGCAGATATTTATTTACGTCAAATTTCACAACACCCTTATATTCAAATTAATAGATCGATAGTGTTAGAGCATCAACAAGACGTTTGGTTTGCAGTACAGTGCAAGTATACGTGGGAAAAGTTCCTGTTAGTACAAGCTGAACAAAACAACATCCGTTGTTGACTTCTCGTACAGAATATTCACCAAACTTGTATATCACTTATCAACCTCTGAGTCTATCTCCATTTACACTGAAACCTACAATAATTAATAAGATTGTTCTTCTCATAAAAAGCCAAATTGGAATAATCACATAACCCCAGTTTCTCAAATCATTTCTTTCCATCATATTCTGTTAGAATACTTTCCTCTACGTAAGTCTCCTCTTAATTTCTTCAAAAAATATAAAATATTGAAAGAAGTTCCATCGGGATTTCCCAAAATTAATATTTTTTTCCAGCGCAAGAAAACGATAAATTGTAAATGACGAAAACAGGATTACTAAATACAATTTCCCTCTGCACCGTACTGTATACGGCCTTGAGACGTTGTTGAAAACATTGTACTCCGTTTACAAGAAGGCATGCGGCTTTCGCCTCATGCTGACTATAGCACCTATAGCATAACTGGAGTGAATTCTTGAATTTTGTCTTTTAATATTCTTGTGTTCTCTTCTGCCACTAACATGTTGCTACGAATATACATGTATGATTATACTGTATTTGTTAAGATGACTTATTTTTTTTGAATAGATTCTTAACAATGATGATTTAGAAAACCGTGATGGCTTACATGAAATACGATTTGAAGCAAAATCCTTTGGATGAGTTGAAAGCCTTCAAGTCGGCTGTTGAGATGGTTAAGGCTCAACCAGAATGGAGAAGTCGCAAGCTTATTGAACATCAAAGATGGAATCCATACTCGATGGAAGGAGGGTATTAATTGTCATCAAATTCATCGCAATCTGAGTATTTTCAAGATCTACCTGTGCTCTAGCTGGAGAAGATTTCGTTATTGTGGCCAGTGATACCAGAATGTCTCAACAGGATATCAATATCATCACAAGAGATGCTGAAAAGATTCATATTTTGTAAGATTTATAATTGTCTCATCCATACAGTAAATCGTTTCCAGGAATGACTCCATCATTCTTACCACTTCTGGATTCTATGGTGATGTTCTCCAATTGAAACGTGTTCTTCAGGTTTGTTTTTAAGATAATATAAATATAATTGTCTATATGTATTCATATTCAGAGCCGTCTACATAAGTTCCGCTTCGATTATCGTGCCGACATGACTGTTGACTTGGGTTCTGAACTTCTTTCCAGAAATCTTTATTATAAGAGATTCTTCCCTTACTATACTGGAGCTATTTTAGCTGGAATCGATGAGAAAGGTTAGCAATACTTGAAAGTTTTGTTTTAATCACTGTTTGTCTTAGGAAGAGGAGCTGTGTTCAGTTACGACCCTATCGGATGTGTTGAAAGATTAGCTTACTCTGCTAGTGGAGCAGCCGAACCAATGATCATTCCTTTCTTAGATTGCCAGGTTGGGCAAGTTACTTTGTCTGATGATGCTGAGAAGCTTGATTTAACACTTCCAAGAGCTATCTCTCTGGTCAAGGTTCGTCAATAAAACAGTTTTGCATCTTTATCCTGTATTATAGGATGCTTTCCGTACTGCTGCTGAACGTGAGATTTCTACTGGAGACAAGATCCACCTTGTCATTGCTCAAGCTGGCAAACAAGTTCAACAACAATTCCTTTCTCTCCGTGAAGACTAAATATTCTGCTAATTTATTTATAAAACAAATTGATCTGTTTAATATTTGAATTCGGGGGTCGTATGCCGGTCGAACACGTACATAAAGTTTTGATTGAAATGAGTTGATTGATTGGCTCGGCGGTGTTAAATCACTTGAATATTCTTTTTTTCCTAAGTGTGGTAAGACTTTTTAATCAATATTGACAGTTATGACTGAAGAGAGAACCGTAGCAGACTGCAGGTTTTGAAAATCGGATAAAGATGTTTTCTATTTCTAAGTTTCTACTAATTGGGTGAGTTATGATTACTTCGTATCTATATGTTATTACGTATTCAGTATATTTTGCATTTTCCCGGTTCTCAGTATCGTGAACTCTTCTTTAGCGTTCGGGTCAATCATGAAGAGTTGGACCAACCCATCGTCATTCGCTCGGTCAGTTTCCTTATATAGACTTATGTTTACTCCATACATTTCTTTTAAAACAACATGTGATAGAATAATGTTGCACGTGATTGATAATAACATGCGCTTCTTCAACCTGTGGTCTATGATGTCATATGACGATATGCCTATAATGGGAATTTGTGCTTTATACAGATGAATTAAGGATGACTGTGATCCTCACAGTCGGATATGGTTAATATCTGAATTGTTCACAAAACGATATGGAAATCGGCGTGGGGGGGCTCATTTCCATTTCCCGATTTTTCCTGTATGAGAGGGAGGCGTGGCAACTGCGACCAGTTCACTTTCCCTTGATCGACTGAAAGAAACGCTTACGTGTGCTGCTGTTATTTCTGAGAAAAGTTTCTAAATTTCTTTTGGAAAGCCAAGTTGAAACCGCATGTTATGTGCATTTGTCGGTTCTGCAGCTCCGTTAGCTACGAGCCTTCGAGCAACTCCAACGCCTAACGTCATATCTCTCGTTTTTTATGTTGTTTTCGCTAGTTTATTACAAAATTATGCAATGGTTAGGTGCGTTTCGTTTGAATTTTCTATAATTCGACTCCTTTGTTCTGTTATCAGCTATCCTTCCGTCTATTAGAAACAGTTTCTATTTTTATGTCCAATGTGACATTGGTCATAGAGAGGAATTGAAAACTCGTGCAAAAAACTCGCTTGACTGAATTTATTACTCTTCGAAAAGATCTTAATATTCCTTAATTTTCTTTTGGATTTTTTGGAGTAGAAAGCTTTTTCAATTCTATTAAGTAAATAGGCGCATGAGGCCACGTGTTGTTTGGTTTCGTTAAGCGTACAAGCTACCCAATGATGCGACGGAAATTCTCATTTATCAGATGATTAAATAAAAAACTTAATACCTTCTCAGGTTTTCAATGGTTTTCTCTTGTTTCAGAGCTGATATCTGCGATAAAACTGTGGAAATTGCTCATATAAGTAGTTCATCATCGAGTTTGCCAGATACCTCCACTCCTTCAACGCCTCCAAGCAATGGCAATTGTACTAACAATCTTACTGTGCAAAATACGATTACGTAAGTATTCGTTTTTTCCTTGTCTCGTCTTTCTGTTATCAGTCAATAGGTGCAAAAACATTTTAGAAATCACCCTATTGCTGCTGATGAGATAGAAAATGAAGAAGCACATGACGTTGATGCAACTACGAAACAGCCTATTGCGACGTTTGACGAGTGGACAAAAGAGAAATTAAAGCAAGAACAGCTGAAAGCATCTGCCACGGTTGGGTTGACTCTTGATTCTTTGAATACTGTTTGTTTATCAGGTCCCTGCCGTAATCCTAGGATCAGGCTCTGCGCCTAAGGCGGAAATCCTGGTCAGTTCACAATCTACTAGGAATTATGCAAGCAAAGAGTGTGGAGCTAAGGTCATCACAAGTAACGCGGAAGCAGAAAATACGAAAGCTTTGCTTAACGATAAAGTCGGTCGCAAACATATTTTCATTTCGAGACATTCTAATATTTCAGGAAAAAGACGAATACATGCGAAACCCGTGTAGTAAAGCTGAGAACAAATTCGTTGTTATTGAGCTCTGTGAGACTATACAGGTTTCTCCAAACTCTTTGAAATATAATAAGTTAACTGATATTCAGCCACGATTAATCGAACTAGGCAACTTTGAATTGTTTTCGTCTGGACCCAGAGAAGTCAAAATCTGGGGTACTGAGCGTTTTCCCAACAGTGAATGGGAGCTTGTAGCTGAGCTCAATGCTACGGACACTAGGCATTTGCAAACCTTCGTACTTCACACGAGAGTTTATTCGAAGTTTATAAAGGCAATTTGATGCAAATCTTTCTGTATGACGTCTTTTTTTGCAGTTGGAACTTGTTTCGCATTATGGAAACGAACATTATTGTACTTTATCTGTTCTCAAAGTTCTCGGTATGTCTATGGCTGATGAATATGAGATCGAGGTAAGTTCAGCTGAGAGAGTGATAAAAAGAGAGAAATGTTCAGGCTCAAGCTGCTGTAAGATTACCCGTCATATCTGAAGTTGTTCAACAACCAAATGAAAAAATCACACCTGCGACGGAAGAGCTAAAAGTATACTTGATTTATAGACTTTTAAATGATAACATTTATTGTAGGAAGCAGATAAACCTATTATTACCGTCTCAGAAGCTGAAGTTAATGAGAATGTTGTAACTGAACCTCCCAAACCAATTCCTCAAAGCACTTTCTTGCCGATGAATAGTTCAGCGCTAGAAGTTGGAGGAAAACGACGGTATTCTATTTCTTCTATCTCCTTCGTGTTTATTATTATTTGATAGACTGTCTGCTTTTGATGTTCACTTATGTCGAGTATGTCCAACAAGTCCATCATGCATTGTGCCCACTCATCTTTGCTGGGTTTTTGTATGGCGTCCTCCACCAACAACAAAAAAGTCGAAGTTGTAAGTTTTGCATAGTAATTGTCCCGATCTCAATAATTTTTCAGTGTTTCACCTCCGCTTATCCCGGAAGATCGAAGTGTCTCTCTGCGACTTAGACGACAAAGATACTCAAATTTGCATCGCATGTATGTCGAGGCTACAAAAGGACTTCGCTCAAAATCAAATCAAGTAAGTGTATCACTTTCTTCTCGGATCACTCAGCTATTGTAGCATGGAGCGTCTAACGTTCCTCAGAATGAAAATATTCAAGAACAAACCTCCCAGCAAAAAAATAAGAAAGAGAAAAAGGGAATTAAAAAGGCAGCTCAAGATGTCCCTGCTGCGTCCATAAGCGCTAAGGTTTGAGACAAGAAGAAGAAAAAATTGTATTTTCTATCTTTAGGAATCAGTTTTCTTAAAATTGAATAAAAGGATAGCTGCTTTGGAGTTAAACATGTCACTGTCATCAGAGTATCTCAGTGAATTAAGTAGACAGTATGTGGCTCAGGCTGATGAACATCATAAACATATTGAACAAGTATGAGTTAAAGACTGATCCATATAGTTTCAATGATAATCTAGGCTAAGAAGGCTGCACAAGATGTTGCTTCCGATGTAGAACGTCGATTGAATCAGACAATAGTGGAAAAGGTGAGATTAAATCTGTTTGAAACTTATGAAACATGTTACTTGTTTCTCAGGTGTTATCAATGCGTAAGGAAATGGACTCTCTGTTAGCATCGTTGAGAGTAGCAGCTTTTTCTTTTGCTGTCTCACCTGCCAGAACACAGGATAGCTATCAGGACACTCTTCGCAACTCAGATTATGTTGAAGAGCAACCAGAATCTGAGTCAACAGAGTTGAAAGAATATTATTCTTTTGCTGACAGCGATGGCATTTGGACTGTGAGTATTAATTAGTATATATTATAATTGTTTTTACTTTTCAGACAGAACAAGTCGTGTACACTGTGGTTGCCGTACAAATTTTCACTGTTCTTGCTATCGTTCCAATTCTAATTTGCTACATAAACCTCATGAAACAGCCGACAATATCGGAAGAAGATTTAGAAGAGTTGATTCAGAAGAAAATCGAGCGGACAATGTTAGAACAGTCGGATAAGATGAAACCAGGTGTGTTTAATCGTTCTCTCCTGCATCTCATTGTTTTTATTCCAGAAAAAGTTGAGACTGAATCTTTGGCACAACATATAAGAGAAAAGAAAAAAATGAAACGAATACGACAACGGGATAGATTACGTCAATCTTTGAATAGTTTGGATGAACAACGATTTTCTGACACAACGATATCTCGTGCAGCTTCTCAAACAGAAACATCTTCGGAAGCTGAAATTCCTAGAAGTATTATCAGAGGGGTTGTGTCTCTGTGTCAGCCTCCTCCGTTGAGAAGTAATGCCTGATATTCTGTTAGAAGTTTTTGCAATTGAAGGAACTTCCAAAGATTTCGAAAAATTGTATAAGAAGTGTGTTATGTTCGAAATTTGTGATTCTTAACGCGGGTATACGTCGTACATGTACGGATTCATTTCAAATTTTCGTTTTTTTTTTGTTTAGTACGTTCGTAGTGTAATAATCATGTAGATTCTGCTACACCGGTTATAATTCTCTGTGAGAAAGATATATCCATTTTGAACGGGTCCGAGTTTAGAAATTAGTTGAGCCTAGCGTTTCCAGTCTAAGTGCACAGATTGTTTTACTTTTTTTACCCAGTATGTCATAATCTGTGAATAATAAATATTCCGTCTGTACTGGATTGTTCCACAAAACGCACTTTTCCAGATGGGTCTTTTGCTTCATCTTCACCACATGTTCTGTTTTCGAAGATTTCAGAGATTATTATCGGATCCTCGCTCTCTCGCATACGAACCAGGACTTGGGCTGTTGATCAGTTTCTTGTTTTCTCTGGTTGTCAGCTGTTCTAAAAGATGGTTGAGCGGAGCGTCCATCAGTGAATAAGAGAAATCTCGTCGTGTTCGCCACTTGATGACTCTTCAGATAATTTTTTCCTAAAAAAGGGAAAATCCGAAATCACAAACGCTGGATTGAACAGGAAATCGGGACTGAGAAGACAATCTATTTTCGAAGAGAGGATCGAGAGGAAAAGCTGGCAAATGAGTTCATTTTGTTGCTCTATCTCTTAACAACTGTTTGCCTAACCTGGCTAATATGTTGACTTTCTCTAATGAGCAATACTGGTGAATAGCACTAGCACTTGGAACACGCTGAGAAGAGAAAGAAGATTTTGATAACTACTTCATCAGCTTCGCGTTACCTTTGTATCACAGTATTATTTTCATAGCTCTCACTCGATATCGATCGTCACTTTTCAGATATAACCTCAAGATGACCCAACAAATCTCTCCAACAAACTTTTATTAAAATAGAAATTTAGGAGGGGGCGGCAGGGGTGTTGAGTACCTTGAGATGTCGAAGTTTACAGCATCGTTTTCTCTCTCACTCTCACAATTTTTGTTTTCATTCCGTGCTTACATCGAATATAAAATGCTTGAGGTGGTGTCTCTGGCTAAGCGATTTTACGTGAAAATCTACGTAAGCCGCGAACTCATTTTTCATTGAGCAAACAGTAAGAGCGGTTGATCTATCGATTCTTCTTTGTCTTTGCCCATCTACTGTCACATTTAATTTCAAAAAACTTTTCAAAGAACTGTGGTGCTTTTTTCTAGATTTTAACCTATTCTCAACCTTTCAATTGCTAATTTTCAATCAAATCCCCATTTGCCCTGCTCTGCCCTGTGCTACAGCTGCTTTCTTCTTAATTTCTTCTGCTACTAAGGCTGACCTATTCTGCTTTTCTTCCGTTTCTCCCGAGCATTTCTATCATAGTTGCTTTTCTGCAATGCAAAATATACAAACTTGAACTGCTTCTCTGATACCCCCCCCCCCTCTCATTTCTTTTGTTCTACCTGTTGATCTGATGCTTAAATCTGGCTATGTCGTAGATTAGACGATCTGAGTCTACAAGATTCTTTCGGATTCCAATACAGAAGCTATCTAACTTAGCGATCAATATTGAGATTCTTGAGTGCCAATAAATCGGAAAAAATCCATAGGGGATCTATCGCAGATATAGTTCAAGTAACAGTCATACGTATCGAGTAGAATTTCAGGAAATGCAATGAACACTCCTGACTCATCCACAGAACAGCAGTTGCTTCAATAATCCTTTTCTTCAATTTTTCGAGCTTTCAAAATGTTTTCTTGACCGATGGTGTATAATATTAGAGATCATAACTTACTTTCCACATGGACAATCATTTTCACTACTTAATCACCATTACAGTGATTGTATCTGCTCTTTCCTTTTTACAACATCAACAGACATTCTAACATCGCCCTCCTCTATTACAAAAACGACAATTTTATTGAAGTCGAAAATATTCTCCAACGGGCTGAATAGTTTCATACCACTCTTTGCTCTCTAGCCCTTCAATTACGAAGTAAGGAAATTTTCTTCCTCGACCATTCATTTACGATTCATTCCTTGCTTCGGATCCTATTCAATTAGAGAAACAACAAAAAATGAACGTACCGATCTTACTTTGATTAATGTTTCTCATAATGAGGTTTCTAATAAAATCCTTCATTTCCATTATGGATTTTGCTTCGTAACAATCCTCATTTCTCTCACTTTGATCGTACAGTGCTCTCCGCTCGCTCTCCATGTCTGACAGGCACTTTTGTTTCTTCCCTTAACTCAAAACGGACTAGGTCCTGTTTTATCTGCTTTCCCAACCCTCCACAAACTCTAACAACCGGATCCGGCAGTGTGGTGACGTAAACACACCATGCTCCCAGGAACTGTTGCAGCACCACCGGTGATGCAGCGGCTGTCGCCTCGAATATCCCTCGTTTGCACCTCATTGACCTGTCGCGGTCCGTTAGACCACTTTTCGACCGGACTCTCCTCATCTGTAAAACAGCTTCTCCTCTATCTTCTTCTTTCTCATTTCTTTCCTTCTTCTCTTTCTTCGTTTTATGTAGTCAGAACTTAATACGTACTCACCTTTTCTTCGATTTTCTACAGTTCGGATTTCTGAGACTTCGGTGTTTATATTTCTCAAACGAGTATGTTGCGTAATATTTGTAATATTGAATCATTATACTTATTCCGAAGCTGAAAATTCTAGAATGTCGTGGCCTGATCTTGTCCAAAGTCAACTTATTGCAACTGGCAACGTTAGTAAAGCTGCAATCTGTGGTCTAGATGGGAACATTTGGGCACAATCCACTGGATTCACTGTAAGTTTTGTGAGTCTTTTGTTTTCTAGATCCGAACTTAGGCCTCACCGCAAGAACTCGCTGCTGCCATATCAGCCTTTGATAACCCAAATGCCGTTCTAGGTGTTGGTCTTCACTTTGCTAATCAAAAATACTTTGTTCTGAGAGCCGATTCCGAGTGTGTCATTGGAAAGCTGGGAGCGGGTGGTGTATTCATTCACAAAACTGGAAAAGGTTTGTAAAAGTAATTAGGTGATTTAAGCATTTCTTTAGCCATCATTGTGTCGATTTATGAAGGAGGAATTCAGCCAGAAGCCTGTAACACAACTACTGGTGCTTTAGCAGATTACTTAAGAAGCACAGGATATTGATCAAAGCTGAACATTATCAACAATTCATTTGATTCTTTTATTTCCTGTTTTTCCCTTTTCTGCTGATTTGCCGCTCAAAGAGTCTGATTATTACGTATTTTAGTTCATTTTAATAAATGTATGACAAACAAATAAACTATCTTTATTTACTTTTTTGAATAACTTACCCTCAGTTGAGTAATATTGAATTATCATACGTTTTGAGATACCGAGCATTTCAGAATGTCGTGGAAAGATTATATTGAAATAAACCTTTTGAACACTGGGACTGTTAGTAAAGCTGCAATAATTGGACTGGATGGGAACGCTTGGGCATGTTCCTTTAATTTCAACGTTAGTTTCAAGAACTCTACTTTTACCGACTACAACTCAGGTATCACCACAAGAGGGTCTTAAAGCCGCAAATGGTTTCGAAAACCCAGCCAGTGTCATAGACGTTGGTATGTATATAGATGGCCAAAAATACGTTGTTCTGAGTGCAAATTCCGAATGCATCCTCGGAAAGCACGGACGAGAGGGTGTCGTCCTTTACAAAACTGTAAAAGGTTTCAATTAGTAACTGCAACAAGTCAGTATTTTGTTTCAGCCATCATTGTGTCGATGTATGATAGTGGAATTCAGCCTGGACCCTGTAACGCAACTACTGGTGCTCTAGCAGATTACTTTAAACGAATTGGATATTAAGCGAAACTGAACTCTCAATAATGGTTCAATCCTTTTTTGTCACTGGAGTTTTTCGCTTTTCCGCTGATGAGCCGCTCACATTATCATAACTCCTCTACTTTCCTACTGAGAAAGTTGACATAACGAAGAAATAAAATGTCTGTATTTATCCATTTTACTTTTCAGCGTCGATTTCTCTCATTTCAGAAGTATTCAATGATCATAAGTTTCTCGACACTGATTTTTTTTCTGAGGTCTTGCTCTCTTGGCGGCGGCCGCAACAGTCTTGGATAATGAAGACTCAAGCCGAAGCTCTGGTCATTTAATGCAGAAAATACTTTTCTTTGAGAGCTTATTCCGGATGTGATTTTGGAAAGTGCTGTCATTGCTATGATGCCCTTCTCAAAACTGCACGAAGTTCGGAGGAGGAACTATTCAATTCAAACTTCTTCTTAGTCATCATTCTTTCAGTTTTTGGAGAACTAAATTGTTTGATATGCCGTGTACCAATTTTGCAGATAATTTAGAATCTGCTTGATATTGAGACACGCTAAACACTGTTAAAAATCTTTTTGATTTTTTTGTCCTCGTTGGAACTCTTATCTGTCTGTTGATTTGGTGCTCAGAAAATCTAACTGTGCTGCATTTTAGATTCTTTTGAAAAAAATAAGAGAAAGAAATAAATTATCGTTATTCGTCTTTTTTTTTTCATTGACAGGGAAGGTCACTAAATTGGAAATATCGATCACAACTTCACAAAAAAAACAAAAACGGACAAAATAAGATTGCCACCTAAAGTTTTTGTAAAAGATATGGACTAATCGTCCGAAACACACAAGGATTGAACATGTTAGGGGTACAAGAATGTCCGAGAAAGAACAAATGGATTAGCATAACCTGTTTCAATAACCTTCATTTTTAATTTGAAACAGTTACAAGGCGGTTGTTTTTTATTGACTCAAAAACACAATCAATATCATTCTTCTTTTCAGTTTTTCCTTCTTCAACTACGGTATCATAAAATTCGCGATAGTGAGGTTTCTTCTTTTCAAAAATGAGAGTATCGCTAGCTTACTGATTGTTCTCTTGTAGCATCATAAATAGGTATACTTAACTGTATAAAAATAAATATCATAATCATACCATGTTTTCAGTATGATTCGATATAGCGGCTTAGTTAGGAGAAGCTGCGTTCTTCTTCGATTGCAATCAGTTGTGAAAAAAATAGAGAGAAACATAAGAACTGACTTGAGAAAAAGCATTGTAAGCTGCATTATATGCCTCACCTCATGCGAGATATTCAGAAAAATGATACCAATAACAACAATATCATAGATTTATCTACTCCGAGATCAAAAGGACCTGGAAGCAGTTCATCTTCGAGCAAAGATAGCTACCGGAGAGCCAAAAAACTAGTTATTACACCGGGTTCGGTTGCACTTCTGGTAATTAACGTGTGTTGGCTACTTGATTTCTATTTTCTAGGTTTTGCCAGCTTTTACATTCTGTTTAGGAGTTTGGCAGTGTTGCAGACTACAGTGGAAACTGACCCTAATAGAAGAGTTGAAAAAACAACTATCAGCTACAGCAATAGAATTTCCGATTGACAAGTAAGTAAGAAATGTATTCAGTTTTCGAGTTAGTTAGTTTGGAGTCACTGTTGGATCTTGAATATCGGAGAGTCAGGATAATTGGTGAATTCCTTCACGAAAGAGAATTTATAATTGCTCCACGAGGTCGTTTCGATGTAGGTTGGTACCCATGTTCTTAGCTGGCATTCTATTCGCACGAGTTTTCAGGTTATGTACAGAAAGATAGTGGCTCTCTGTTGTCTGATAATAATATGTCAAGTCATGGAGCCCATGTAATAACTCCGTTTAAAATCAAAGGCACTAAGTTAGTTTCTCAAGCAAATCTTGTAATCGTATCCCTCTATCAGTCTTATCATAATGGTTAATCGAGGTTGGGTTCCACCTGAACTTATTAGTCGCAGTAGTCGTTTGAATAGCGAACCAAAAGGAATCGTCACTTTCGAAGCGATAGTCAGAAAAAGCGAAAAGGTATAAACTTTTTTCAAACTCGTTAGCAGGCTGATTTAAGCGTCCTCAATTTGTCGGTGAAAATATTCCCGAACAGGGTGTTTGGTTTTATAAAGACTTTTACCAAATGGCTCAACAATATGGAACGCATCCTGTTTACGTGGAGGCTGTTCATGGTTTGTTTCAAATGCTTGAAATGTTCTAGTATGTTCACTCTTCAGAAACAACCGTCCCTGGAGGACCTATAGCTGGTCAAACTAACATCAATGTGAGGAATGAGCACTTATCATATCTCACAACTTGGTAAGGCTCATACTGTTTTCATATTACGTTAATCGTGTTATAGGTTTACATTAACTGCTGTTACTATTGGCATGTGGGTAGCTCGCTTTAGAAGATAATAAAACTAATAATGTTGTTACTTATTGAATGAAAATAGGAGTTACTTCTTCTGATTCTTTACTGTTACATCACCTGTACCCTATCATGATAGCCAATCATTACATGCTGTTTCAAATTTAGATGAAAATAGTATGGCTGTGCTTGTTGCTAAGTTCATATACTTTTGGAAAACAGGAAATGTTATACGATCCTAATGATCCAACAGCTATAATGAGAAATGCAGAAGAAAAAGCTCCTTCAGTAGGTGTATCGTTGAGCTAAACTTGTTAATGTTATACATTTAGTCTTCACTGGACGATCCATCACTCAAACTAATACTACGAAGATTTTTCCAGCAGCTCAGTGTTGATCCTTTTCAAAGATCTTTTTTTTCCATATCCGCAAGGTTTTACTAATAATCTTTTTCGCTGTTAAAAATCTTATTTAAGGCTTTCTTTAACTTCTTACAATATGGCAGCAATAGCAGATTACTTAGACAGTGAAAAGGATAATGTAGAGCTTCGAGACCGAGTACGAACTGCTCTTCATGACATCGTCGAATTAGTTAGAACCATTATTCACTCTTAGTCCTACATCATCTTTAAGGTAGAAACGGAAGATACATACCAATCTATGTGGAATAACATACTTCTGATAGTCCAACCTTGGCTAGTTTTTGCGAATGTCGTTATTCTTTTGCCAGCACTTATTTTAGTTTTGAGAACTTTGAGGTAAGTTAAGCTTCTAAGCGCTGCTCAAAGTTCTTAATAGGCCGCGATCTTATTGGATGTATATCATCATTTTCATAACTGTTCATTCGATGTTCACGACTTATAATAGATTATATGAGGTTTGAGATGATTGTATGCATATCGTAATCAACCTGTTAGGAGAAACTTGCCGAACGCATTGCTGCTAGAGAAAGCATGGAAAATGCTTGTGCTCCAACTAGTTTGTTCGAACAAGCATTTGACGTTGTCTCTGGAATGGTTTCTTTCAAGAAGAAGTCAAAATGTGTTGCATTTATCGAAGTTAAACTTTTAGTTGGAGTTTTTTTCAAATTGTTTTTCAGACTCAAACCGTATCAATAGTCAATGAAATCAGCCTTTTTTCTGTTCTTACTGACGTCATCTCGCATGGCGTTTTTGGTTTTCTTTCTAACTGTGGAATTCATATCAATAAGTTTGTCAAAGACGTATTCACAGATATGCCTATGCAAGGCGTACTCATTATTGGAATAGCTTCCGTCTTCTTGTTCGTAGGAACCGTAAGTCTTGAGTTTGATTCTTCCATCACTAGACAATATTCAGCTATTACTGTTTGTTCAAGTGAAAATCCCGTTCTTTTTCTCAACCGAGCCTATTCGTAAGTTTTTCCCGAAATTTGAAAGTTTAACTTCATTCAGTTCTTCCCTTACTCCAAGCTTATATGGTCAGCACACCTGTCAGATCTGATGAAATTCCTGCAATTTCCTCTTCCGGGGAAAAGGAGCTTTGTATTCAGGCTTCAAGTGCATCGGAGAAGAAAATTCAACAGCCAAGTAGGAAAGAGAGAAACTTCCTCATCATTAGACTTTTTCAGCTGAGAAAACTCATAGTCAACCTAAAGCTCTGACGAACGTCACTGATCGTTCGCCACAAAGGTATTCGAATTTTGTTTATTCATGAGCTATTCGTTCACACTAATCTAGGAAGCAGAATATCAGGAAACGTGTGAAACAAAGGTATGCTGAGGAAAATTCATCTTCAGCTGATGACGAATTGGAGCGAGACTCATCTCAAGATACCAAACGATCACTTAGGGCATTATCACCTTCTTAATTTAATATTTTTATTTTAGTTTTACCACTATAAATTATCAAAAATAATTTGTTCCAACTGGGAAAAAGAGTCACAACTTCGATTTCAATTCGAGATTTTATGATTACAGAGTGTTTTGAGACATAAGCTTATCTAGTTAAGACTGCCTTTCTTGGATTCATCTAAGCTGTGTCCTTCACCGTCGTCTCCTGCAATAGTCATTAACATTGTTTTTTCAAATGAAGTTGAATCAACCTTCAATGAATAATGTAGAGTCGATAGTTTGGCAAACATCTTTGAAGACAGAATCAATGTCTTGGTCCCCGTCAACCTAAATTAAAAAGTTCATCCTTGTTTTTAGGACTAAAGGGTTGCATGCAGGAAATCAAGCAATGAGAATCAACTATTTTCCTATGGAAACATTCCAAGAAAGCAAAAACCATGCAATTGAGAAACGGAAAGTTTCTGAATTCTACGTTGAAAAATAAGAGAGCTTTCGAGCAGAAATCTCCTTAGTCATCAGAGGAAACTTGTTTCATAGTTGTAGAAGTTTGATAGGGTGGGATCGTAGAAATTGTGAAGTGAAGAAATGTCGTAACTGACCTGCCAACACGAGGAGACTACCCATAATCACTTTTATGATTTTTGCTGTTAAAACACACAAAAGCCTATTAAGCGCAAGCTGTTTGCTAATTTGTTATGAGAAAAAGCTCATTCAAAAGCTATCACGTTAAAGCAGGATAAAGCTCCGTGCCCGTATTGGGAGATCAGCTAACCGTCTCTTTGGATCCGACACGAACCACTCGTAGTTTTCCTTTATCGTCCAAGTATTTCAACATGGGTAATGTATTTTGTTTGAAAGAAGCTAATCGAATCTTGAATACTTCTGGTGTATCATCTGGAAAACAAGTTCATTTTGATCTTTCACTCGTTTCGGTAGCCTGACCTGGTCTATCTACTTTGTTTAATTCATAACGTTTTTTAACTACTTCTTCACAATACTGCTCCGTACAGTCTACCAAAATCACCACATCTATTCGCTCAATCTAAATTGCACAGCTTCATTTTAGTCAATGGATGTTGTTGTACTATGTTTTCCAAATCTGTTACTTGAGACAAAGTTCTCGGATATCCTTCGATTACATAACCCCAACTAGTTTGACCTATGTTATGCATTTCAGTGAAAAGCACATCTCGACATAAGATCTGTAATGGCAACCAAATATCAAAGAACTAGTGTTTGTCCTCACCATCGGCACAGGCTCTCCTTGTTCCATTTTGGTATTGACTCGTTTCCAAATATCATCCTCTCTCATTTCTGCAGCTTTTCGTCTCAGTAATTCGCCCATTGACAAAAGAATGAAACCGTCGTACTTCTGAACTATTCGTTTCGCGATTTCGGCTTTATTCGATCCCGGAGCGCCTATGAATCAGACCTTTTGCACAAGAGAAAAGAAATAGATCTCTAACCAACTATCAAAACGACAGGTGCGTTGTTAGGTAGTCCCGTTCGAACAGTAGAATCTCCAACAATTTCATCATTGATGTCTACGCTCGATAGAACTGTTTCCAAAGGTGGGGCAGCTCCTGTACTCGGGCGTGAACCAGCTTTGGTAGTGGGTCGTACGGCTGAAAAAAAAATGAAAACATTTAACTTCATGAACATGATGCTTACATGGGCTTGCCGAAGTTGGAACAACAACAACTTCAGGGACATCAGGAGAAATAACTAAAAAAATTTGATCGTTGGCAGTAATTGAACCAATTTACTCACATTCTTCCGCTTTGGACTCCACAATACGGGCGTTTGAAGAGGCTGAAACATATATTGAATTGATTAAATCTTTTTTGATAAATCCAAGCTCCATTTGATTTATTAACAAGAAAACGTTTCAGTCATTTCTAACGCACCTGTCGACTTTCTAGATTTTCGGCTTCCAGGTCGACTTGGGTTGGTTGGTGGTCGTCCTGAAAGTAGTCGAGTATAGTATTGAAATTTACAAATAAACCATCATTACCCGCTGCTGTGCTCTTTCTGGAGGCTTCTTTCGGCTGAGAAGTATCTTTTTCAACATCCGGCGAAACAACGGGAGGAACTTCGTTAATAATTGGCTGAAATATTTGGTTTTTCTTGTGGATTTTACGTGAAAAACACTATGTTGATGTTGACTTACCGATTGAGAAGTTGCCACCATCTCAGCAGCAGCCTCTACCGCCGTGGCGGTGATAGCTGCAGCACTTATTTCCTCATTACGAGATTGACTTGTTTCCGCTCTCTGAATATGGATATGTTTGATGATGCTGACAAAACTAAGTTCGATACTGATTCTGGCTTAGACGCAGGTGCACCATTTTGGCTAGGAGGATTGCTGTTGTAAACCGGAATGCCTGATTCCATAGCTTTTTCAACCAGCGATTTCATTCTTTCAAAAATAGCTTGATCATCCTTTTCTCCCGGAATCTGGAGGTGGAGAATTATATAACAGAACACGGAAGTTAAAATTTTACCAGATGGAGCAGCTTTTGGTCATCAAAGTACTTGGCCGAGGGCAAGGTTTTTTGTTTGAACTCCTGCAAGAATAAGTTAAGAGTGTAAAAAAAGCAGAATAGACCTTGATTTTCTGATCAATAAGTTCCATACCGAGCCCTCTTCTTTCCATATGATCTCTCAGAGTTTTCTCGTCATAATCAATAATTAGAGCCATATTCACAGTTTTGACCTGAAAAAGAAATTGAAAGAAAGTTAAAAGTATTACTCTTACCTGTCTTTCAAAGTCTTCAACTTGACGAGCTTCTCGAGGGAACCCTTCGAGGAAGAAAGCGGTAGCATTCTTATGTCGGCCCATTTCAGCTTTCACTAAAGCTAATGCCAAATGATTAGGAATGAGTTCGCCTGCAAAGTAGTTTGTTAGCACATGCAGGATTCATAATGAAAGAAACCTCTCATATAATGATCATTGGCACCCTTCCATTCAGCATATTTATCTTTATATCTTGTCAAAGCTTTACGTATGACGTCTGGCATGCATATATGGACAAGTCCTCTTTCTGATAAAGCATCTGAGACTCGAGCTGCATGTCTTGTCTTCCCACCACCTGGTCCTCCTGAAAGCCACTAGATAAATTGTTAGTATTCATTTATATGGGATGTTTCCTCCCTCTTATAAACATATCTTCTTTTTTTAAAATATACTTCTATATAATATATTTTAAGAAAACATGTCGTTCAGTGATCGATTAGCAGAATGAAATGAAAGTGTCAAATGTGCCTAATGTATGATTCTACATATGGAATAAAAGCATTTTGAACATTTCTTATTGGCAAATTGCGTGTATTTTGATTGATTTTCAGTTGTAAGAAGAAAATAATATTGAAATCTCACCCATGAAGAGAATAATTGGGACATCAGGTATTTGAGCGACTTCAGAGGCTTTTATCACCGATGGTTGCCGATGCAAAGCTCGGCTTCCAGTTGTAGTTCGACGAGCATCTCGCGAGTGTTCACGCATTGTTTTGTTCTAAAGAGGAAAAATTTAGAAAACATTAAGTGGAGCATAAGACAAATGGTTTCCGAAACTGAAGGCTTTCTTTTTTGAGAAAGTTTCAAACAAACCTCTTGGTCAACGGAGGATTCTTTCTCCTTTTCTTTCACTTTTTTCTTCTTATCTTCATTTCTGAAAATACACTACTGCATATATCAACTAAGTAAACTCACAATATATTATCTTTGATAGTTGGTCCGTTATGACTACGGATGGTTCGCTTCGAGGCAATTTCCCGACGTTCTGGAACAAATTGATATCAGAGTAGGAAGCTCAAAAGTTGAAGAGCTTTTATGGTTGCTACTGGTCAGAGGAATTTGTTATTCTTAAAGCTTCACACCACAAAAACAATAAGTAAACTTTAGCACCACGTAAGAATTGAGGTGTGTGCTCAGAAAGTTGAAAGAAGTTTATACAATGCTTCTGGATACCTAAGCATTCAAAAGCCCAACCTAACCAAGACAATTATGGGTTGTCGACGTCGGAAGTTGTTGGTTGGAGGTAGATGGATAGTGGGTTATAGCTATTATGGACTTCAAAAGGTTGTACGGATTTTTCTTTCAGTATCGTTGAGGCCAACCCTCTTACAACCTTTTTTTTTACATTCATTCTATTATAATGTAGATACGTCTATTATTTAGTTTACTTTTTTTTTGTTCTCCGTTTTGAGATTTATCTGATAGCATTCAAATATGACTGCTTGGCGCAATGGTAGCGCGTTCGACTCCAGATCGAAAGGTTGGGCGTTCGATCCGCTCAGTGGTCAAAACTTTTGATTTTTTTTTATCATTTAGAATCTAAAGCGAAAAATATTATGAGTTTGTGTAAACAAAACATATCCCCAGAGCACTTGGCTCTCGCTATGAAAGGCATCAGAACTCTTTGAAAAATTTCTAAATCTTGTTTTGTTGTTACCAAGGAAGCTGAAAATTGAAATTGTATAACTTCGCAGTTCACGCAAAGGATCGATGATATTCCATTCATGGTTGACTTAATCGTCATTTTATTGAACGACTAAAAATGGCTACTCGAATTCTCACTAATAATTGCGTTCGCTTAACGCTTTAAACTGAGCGAAAAGCTTTGGTTGAGGAAGAGTTTTCTATAAACACATCTTCCAGAGGATTAAAAAGATCCCAACCTATACCATAATCTTTTTCGTCTCAATTTTTTTCTTTGCTCAACACTAATCTGACTGTCATTTACGTGCTCAAAAATTGAAGTATATATATTCTATGTATTTTCCTAATAAACACTGAAATGTATCAAGATAGGAACAAAAGCATTTGGAACAATTTACGCTCTTCCAGAGCTTGTTTTCCATTAAGATTTGCATGTCATGAATTCCTTTCATAGTCTGTAGAATCTGAGAGCCATTATTCTCGCAGATGAAACATTAAAAACAAAGAAAACTGTTCGTTAATGCTTCGCTTAGTAGAGTTTCGGGAGCGGGATGAAGCCTGTGACAAACTGTTTTTTCCGCTTTTCTATCTAGCCAAACAACTCAGTTCGGAAAACAGAGATAGAGTAATAAATTGTGTTTCAATCCTATAGCATAGAGGCCATTTTGGTGGATCACATAAAGTGACACGCAAGCTGACTATATATTGGTCTTTATTTGAGAGCCATTTGTTCAGAAATCAATTCCATGTGAAGCCTAACTCACACAAATTCTCTCAACACACATTTTTTGAAAGCCGGAATATAATTTGAAAGCTGTGCACAACCGATCTACGCAACTTCGGAATTCAAAATGAAGCTATTGAGAGACTTTTGAAAGCTCACGTAATTTCCGCGCTCGCATTCAAATTATGATAGCTAATATACCTGATGAAGTTATCCCTTTGTCAATGAACATATCCCAAGACAAATGATTGTCAGGGTTTTCCTTTAATTGCCGAATCGCATCTTCCAAAAATCCTAAGGGGTCCTCTGGTCGGTTGTATATGAGGCCCGTCATTAATCCCTTATAAGTTTGAGATAGTTCGGAAGAAAATAGTAAAAACCAAAGTTACCTCAAAAAGTTGGGGGATGGAGTGTTCTTGAAGATATAATTTAGCTTCTGCACCCATATTAGTAGTGAAGAGCAGAAAAATGAAAGAAACAGTTTAGCTTTTAGGTAAATTGGAAAGCGCAGAACCAATCTTAAGATACTAGTCGTTAAGGTTATTCCTAATTTAGAGCGGATGTATTTCTAGTTGACTGCCTCTGGAAGGCTGTGACTGCTGGAAGGAGACATAAGCATAGAAAAGAGGCTGAGGACATAAGCTGGCTATGTCTGTTTCCATGGCTACCATATCAGTCCCACAGCTTACATCTCTAGCTTTCTATCACTTGCTAGTGAGAGCAGGAGAGAAAGGAAGTAGTAGAATAATACTGAGAGAAATTAAGAGGATTTATCTTTTGTTCCTGCAAATGTTTTGTATTCATTTCAACTTCAAGCTAAAAAATTTTATGTTCGTATGAAGAAACAGGTACAAGGAAAATGAGAAAGCGTAATAAAAGGACTATATATGGCAATAGCTCAAAGTTTGTGGAAAAAAGAAGAGCAAGTGTTTAGTGGTAAAATCAGTAGAAAAATTAAAATTATTTTACAAATACACGTTGTAAAGAAGGGATAAAATAGATTACAAAGGTTCAATAAAAAGAAATAATTTAGTTTATATCACACGATTTGGGAAATCTCATCCTAGGCAGGCCATAGAATACAAGGATTTTATAATTGAGAGTCACGGGAGAGCATATTATTTAGGCAATGGCATGCTTTCTTCAGCAGGAGTGTTGGCAGCGCTTGGACCACGAGCAGCTCCAGAAAGATGATCAATTGATGTAGATGCAGCCATTTTAGCCTGAAGATCATTTGATTTTCGCTCACAAACAGACGAAAATTGTAGCTTACGTTGTTATATGCACTTCCGAGCTTGCTTTCAAATGATTTGAAGAGAGATGAGTTGCGCATGCCATTCCATTTTTCCTTAACAGAGTCAGCGGTAGCGGAGGCAACTTCTTGGGTCTTTTGGAAGCTAAAAAATAACATAAAAATATTATGCTCAAATGTTAACGAACGCTTCTGAATCCGTGACGACTTTTAATCCCTTGTTGATATCATTAGTGAGCTCTACAAGAGGATTAAGACCAAGCTTTCTCTTAAGTTCAGCAGCATGTTTCTGACGGGCGAGTAAAACTTGCTTTAAGGTGGCAATTTCATCTTCGGTCTGTAAGACGAACAAAATAAAACTACAATAATAGTTAAATACCTTGGTTAATTCTTCTCTTAGAAGTTGCTTCTCAGCTTCGCTCAATTCGGGAGCACCTTCACCCGCCATATCGAACACGGGCTCAGCAGCTGAAAACAAAAATCAATGATTGGCAAACGAATGACAGAAATGTTTCACACAGTCTGGGGTTGGACAACACTACGGATGGCGGAAGAGGAAAGAAGAATCTAGTTCTGTGACTCATTCAAAGGAAGTCAGACTTATATTTACTTTGAACACGGGCTCCCATGCTGCCTTCTAAATCAGCTTCGCCAATCACTACTGCGTCATCTGAGTCAGAGGTGTCTTCCAGTTTAGAAGCAAGATTTTCCATTCCTTTTATCTCGTTTTTGTTTTTGGATGATTGCTTGTTCTTCGGCATAATCGATTCTTCGCTTCAGAATTTCAAAACGTTAGATAGGAGATGAATGAATACACGACAAAATAAGAAATAACGAAATTCAAACTATCTTTGCGAAATGATGGTGCAACGTGGCGACACGAAACGACTGGAAACCATCGACACACAGTTACACGAAAAACAATTCCCAAAAAAGGAGGCAATAGATCGCATAGCAGAGGAGAGAAACAAATGTTCGATCCATCTCCAACACTAGCAAATGACGGTAAACAATGACGTGTACGGCGTCCCTGACTGTATGATGGGTCTTTCTTTTCTCTCTCCTCCATCTAAGAACTCTCTGGGAGTCTATTTCCCAAGAGTTCAAAGAGGGTAGGGGGGGGGGGGGGGGGGGGGGGAGGGGAGGTAAGAAGCCCTTTGAAGAAACTGTCAAACACACACACATACACACATAGAAGCCGACACAAACTGCTACTGAACTTTCCAATGAAACTTGAGGAACTTACTTTCCATTGCGGGAGTGGCCATAATGTCAGCGTTTTTAACTTCTTCGAAACTTGCGCTAAAAATGGAAAACAAATGTAACTGTGATATGAGTAGAAAACAGCAAACACACAAAATATATGGAAAACAGAGAATAACCGGTTTTACAACGATAAAATCAAATCGATAGTGCTTCCTAATACAGAAAACGTTCATTAGTTTCAATTTAATAACGTGAAAGGAATTAAATTTACTTTTTAAATGAGTGAGTTAACATAAATTGCATTATATGCAAAAAATTGTATGAAATCTTAAAAGAACACGAGGATAGGCAAGGTTTACGCTTCGATAGATTGAACGATAATTTTTATTTTTTTTGAAAACTTTGAAATTATGAAACAACTGATAGTTCATTTATTAAATTCAATAAACTATTAGATAAAACGTGGCGTAGTCATCCATCCTCTCTTGGACAACACAAGGGCTATTGATTCTATGTATTTGCACACTCACGGAAAAAACAGATGCGTTCGCTGCAGGACCATTTAATGTATCATGAGCTATATAATGGGTTTCTTATACTTAATGCTCTTATCATAGGCTTCATATAAAAAAAAAAGACAAGTTTGATAAGGAAATAAACAGGCTCGTCAAAACAAATATCACCAAAATGGCTCTAGTAGGCGTTCATTATTCACCCAACCCAACTTGATAAAGCCTATTGGCTCAATGACGATGAAGTGATTTTCAAAATAAGATTAAAATAATAAAACTAATAGATAAATTCTCTGAAAGTTGGCAAAAAAAAGTTTAAACGCTATTTGATCAAGATAAAGAGTACACAACCGACCGCTTCTGCGTTTTTTGACGTTAAAAATGATTACACGTCGTATCACAATACCATCTCACTTTTCACGTAATTCTCACGTAACAATCATTTTTTTATTCGAATTTTTGTGGAATCCTCTGATATTCAAGGCTGATTGTGATGAGAGAGACAGGAAGATAGAAAATAAATTTTTTTTTCTCCTAGTTTGAAGAAAGATGAAATAAAATGTCATCAATAGTGCTGTATGGATGGGATAGAATAATTAAGAGATTCTTTCAATAATTAAATTTGTTTATTACAGAATAAAGAGGAAGTTTAGCCATATCTGGACTTTGATGAAAACTTTCTTCTATCCCTCCTATTTTTTCTTTTACAAATATGCGAGTTGCAAAGTGATTCTTCTGCTATCCATTTGTTTCTGGAAATTCTTTTGTATGACTTTAGCGAATCAAAAAAAAAAGGAATTCTTTTCAAAACTTCAAAGGAATTTTATGAGAATCTTCTAAGAACTTCATTCATTATGTATCAGATTTGGAATTTTTAATTTATTTCTTCTTTCCATCCAAGGTAAATATTTTATTATTAAATTTATTTTGAATTTGTTTTCTTTTGATATTCTGCTGCATCTAATGCTTGTGCTCATGTCATTTGGATTGCTTCTTCTCCTCCTGCTTTCAAAAAACCAAAAAACGGTCACAAAATTCTGTATTCTCTTCTTGAGATGTTGTCCTCTCTTTGTGTGGAAATGTTCAAAAAGAATTTTCAGGTCTATTGCATCCGATGCTTTTGGAAGAAGCTAACAAACGATCCTTTTTTTTCATTTCCATATTTCATACACGTCCGTGTTCTTTCTCTCTCTCTCTCTCTTTCCTTTCCTCTTTTTTTGGCCCTCTCTTGTAAACTTTTATTTTTTTTGGAAGAAAAAAAAAAGATTTCGAAGCTTAAAAGCAATTTTGTGTTCGAATTAAGAATGAAAAGCATAAAAAAAAAGAAAAATTTATTGCAAAAAAGCATCTAGATATGACTAATTGAATCATATTTCCTATAAAGTGAACACATGTTCTTTAGAAAAACATATAAAATAACATTTAATATGAAGAGAATCAGACATGTGCACAAGTAGTTTTCTAAAGAATTATTATACAATTTTCCTTCTTTTTTCTTTCTTTTTTTTCTTCTTTTCTACCTCCCACCCTTCAACCTTGCTATAAAGCCTAAGCTTTTCGTTGAAAATTGTGTCTTAATTCTTATTTTGTTTTCATGTTTTTTCTTTTCTTCATTTCATTCTATCTATGTAATGAGCATATGATAATGGCGCTTCCTGCGCTCTTTCCATGTTCCTTCAATTTGAATTATAAAAAGTAATACAGAGAGAGAGAGAGAGAGTGATAGAGAGAGAATGAGAGAGAGAATGACAAAACAAACTGGTCTCCTGCTTACCTATGGAAATGAAACATCTCGATTTCTGATCCCATATTTCTTTTTAATTACTTTCCATCTTTTTATAGAAATGGACAAAAAAAACTTATTTTTTTCTTCGAATTCTCCTTTTGCCTTCTTTTTCACATTTTTTTATATTGAATTTTGATCAAAAGAACTTCTCAAAGCATACAATATGTTATGGAAAACATGAAAAGTCTCAAAAGCAAATGACTCATGTAACATCGCTTTTGTCTTTTTGGTGCCGATTCAAAAAGACATTCAATACTTTAAGCAATAAATGTAAAGTCATCAAGGAGAGAAAGAAGAGAAATGTGTGAGAGAGAGGAATAGAGAGTTAGAGAGAGAGAGAAAGAAAAGTGAGAGAAGAGAGGTTAAAAGCTTCAAAGAGCTTGGTGTTCAAAGCTCTAAAGAATGAAGAAGAGAGAGAGAGAGAATTTTTCTGAGAATATACTAGTATGATAGTTTAAATGATTTATAGAAAGAATGAAAGAGCAACTTTTTTCAGGAGAGAGAGAGAGCTAGGACACAACCGTTTTTTGCTCAGTTTGTTTTCGAAAATGAAAAAAAAAACTTTGCATATGCGCGTGTTTTCTCACGTGAACGCACGTAAAACGTGATATCTTCAAGAATATTCTGAAGTTGACATCGAATGAAATTAGTAACAGAAAAAAACATAAAAAGAAATAAAAGAAATAGAAAATGAGAGAGAGACAGTAAAAGTGAGAGAACAAGTGAGACCTGGAGAGGTTACAAAGAGAGAGAGAAAAATCGAGGGAACGAAATCGAGGAAGAGAGAGAGAGAGAGAGAGAGTTTCTAAATAAGGAGGGATGGAGGGGCGTGTCAATGAACGATTTGCATTCTTTTATCATCCGCAATCATTTTTCTTGAAGTTCTTTGAACATCAAACTTCTTGTTGGTGTATGCGTGTGTGTGCGTGTGTGTGTGTGGTGTCAATGGCAAGTTATTTGTCTGTTTTTGAATGTTTTAAACTTTTTTTTTTACTCTAAAAAAATGCTGCTGTCAGTTGTCTTTTAACTTTTAAAACGAAACTAATCCGTATGAGTAGCCTGGTGAAGCAAAAAACTAACAAAATACTAGACGTTCCACTTTTCCATTTAGTCTGTTTTTCGTTTTTGACATGAAATCATCGTGGACATGGTTAATCTACATGAAAAATAGGTGGAAAAAAAGGCGATGAAGAAGACGTTTTTAGCCCAACCATCTCTTCCATTTTGTTTTTCAATTTTTTTCCTTTTTTTTTTCAATTTCCAAGTCAAATGTAGTTCGGAGAGACTAATCAACTGTAATTACGACTATTGCCTCCCCGTTCCTTTCTTTTTTGCAGTTGGTGTAAGTCGTCAAAATTCATTCAAAGTTCATTCAAAGTTGTAACTCTTTCCCCTCCCTCCATTCCTTTTCCTCCTTCTCTTTCTCCCCCCCCCCTTTCTCTCTCTCTCTGTTCATCCTTTCCATTTCTTCGTCCTCTGACCCCTGTTTTCCCCTCTACCAACTCATCTCACTTCCCCTCTCCATCCCTCTCTCTATTTCGCCTGAGCCTCTCCCAACAGCTTTAGTTTGATATTTGAACTGTTAAAATAAGTTTTTTTTCTTCTTTCGCCAATACTTTTAAATTCTATTTTTTGTTTTTTTCTATCATTCCCAATTTTTTTTTGAGCCACGAAAAAAGTTGTCAACTTTGAGCTTTTTTTTTTTTCGACTCCTGGAAAAGAAATTAATTCATAGAAAGTTTTAAGAAATTTAAGTTTTGCTTTCTCTATTTATAGAAATACCACTTTTCCTCTATTTCCATTGTTGCTTTGAAGCATATGCTGAACTCTAAGTCAACACCCTATGTTTGTTATTTTTACTTTCTTAAACGCTCCAGAATTATTCGTTTAATGGACATTTTATGAAAATCTTTAGGAAATGAATGTTTTTGCAATCAAATATGTCCTTTCTCTGCATATAACAGAACGAAAATCAAAATATCACAGCATTCATTATTAAATTACCTTTTGTTCTTTGAAGATTTAAGATGTTTTTGCTTATTTAGAAGGTTGTAAGGCGAATAAGCTGCAGAGAGACGGAAGATGTTGGCACCTCCAACAGAATGAGAAAACCCTCTCGTTTCCAATCAACTTTTATATTTTATTTGAAAATAGTTTACAAAAAGGAAATCTAAAAGACTTATCAACTTCCTCTAAAGGTTCATGTTTTTGATCAAAAAACTTAAATTTAGAATGAGAAAATAAAAAAAAATGTCATTCGTATCATTTGCTCGTCGTAAACGAAGAAGCAGAATCGAAGACACATTTCTTCACAACACATGAAAAGCTTTGATTAGCTCTTTTCATGAATTCTACTCCTTTCCTTTTAAGTAAATTTTTAAAACTCTTCAACATTTTAATTTTAAAACATAATTGACTTACAGCAGCAGCAGTAGCAGCAGCTTCCTTTCACTTTTTTTTTCGTTTGCAACTCTACCAAAGTGCTATAACTTCAAACAATATTTTGAGGATCATGTCGGTGTTGCCCTACGAATTTTGATGAAAAGCTTGTCATCATCTATTTTTTTGGTTCATTTCTCTCACCATCGTGCTCATCTCCTTTTAAGGTCCATACATTTCTTTTCTGTTCCACGATCATTTGTGTCGGTGTGAGTGTGTATGTGTTAGAGTGTCTTCTTCCCTCTCTTCACGTGTCATTTAAGCTTTTTTTTATGTTCCTTAGATAGCAGCGGTCATTCGTCAAGCTCAATCATGTTGTCCTACGGAATTCCAAAAGCATTAATAGATTTCTGCCAGATTTACCATTTTGCTGAAATTGGATTTTAAACGACAATTTTCATGCCAAAAACGGCTTCGACACAGAGAGAGAGAACAGCAGAAAAATTATTTTCTGTTTCCTTGTATTTATTCTTTATACTTCATTTTCATTACTGAACACTTTGCTTCTCAAGCTACTTCTATATGATTAGAATCTTTTGAATATTCCAAAATTCAGAATCATGTCATATTTTTGGTTTCACAAATTGTTTTCATAATCATAACTTCAGACGAAAGAAAACCCAGCATGCAGAGAGTAACACAGAGAAAAAGGGTGAGAGGGTCCAAAACGCATTCACCAAGCAGAATATTTTTCAAACTTTTTTTTCTATCTTTATCTTATTTTCATTCATTCGTGTTGTACCTTTTTTATTATCAAATATGCAATGTCTTCCTCCTTTCTCACACCTCTCAGTTCATCACTTCATTTCCCTTTCTATTCTTCATTTCGTTCTTTCTCTCTCTCTTTCTCACAACTACATCTTGTACGCAAATGACCTTTTACCCATATGAGGAAATTCATTTTGACGATGCTGATTTTTCGAGCAAACCGAAGATGAACAACCTCTTCTTACGCCTACATATGCTTACAATAAGGGAATAGCATCTAGGTGTTCACTGTGAAGTTTTACATGAAGCGGAAGGTAAAAGTACTTCCGATAATCTCATAAAAAATATTTTTTTTCTCAACAAAAAAATTTTTTTGAAGAAAACAGGGGGATTTTTTACAAGAGAAGCGAGAGTAAGATGCATGGAGAGAATGTCCTTTGACATAGGTTAACAAGCATTTGATTCCTTCCGTTGTTTTTCTATTTCATTTTCTCTCTTTTTTCTTTCACATTTTTATTTTTGGCAACATGTGGAAGCTGTAGAATTAACCGTAGAAAAAATGACTGAAGCCATCTGAAATCTCACAAGCTTTTCCTATATTTCAAACAAAAAATCGATGTTAGCTGTGAAAATTGAAGAATTTTAGCAACTTTGTATTTTCGTTGTAAATAATCCTATTGTTCAGATGTTCCTATGAGTGAGCCAGCTTTACTCAACTCCAATGATCCTACAGAACCTCATGATGATGGGTAAAAATAACATTTATTCTATTCTTCATCTTATCTTAATATATATTAAAGATATGAATATTTGACGGGATTACCAGATGAAGAAGGGACGGTTAAGTATTCCTTCTGTTGCCGACGGGTACACGTCGTGGTTAGTTTATCATCATCCATATATGTCCATACACTGTAACTGTTTAAGATAATGACGAAAATCATAAGTATTATAACAATTCCTTTCTATCTGGCTGTCACTTTATTTATTTGGCATTTCGGCAATGAGCTGGCCTTTCTCTTCACCGCCATTATCATCGGTACTTTCTTCTTCTTCATCTTCATCTTCTGCTTCTTCACTCTCTTCTTTATTTTATTTTTTTTAAATAAAACAGAAATGTTGTAGTAAAGTCGTCAACATTGAAGAAAAGAAACGAACTCTTCAGCTGATTTTTGACATTTTTATTTTATTTTTGATTGAAATGCTGTGAGAGAGAGAGGGAGTGAAGAAAAAACGAAAAAAACTGTTTGTTGAACATTCTATCCTTGTTGCAGGCTCTGTGATCGTATTCTCCATACATGGAGCGTTTAAAGGAAGTAAAATGTGCCTTATTCCATATATATTTCTTCAGGTATAAATCAGATTATTCCATATATAATATATATTTATATTTTAGACGTTATTTGTTATTTATGATATTGTATTAGTAGGAATATGCATTTATGGTTCAATTAATCATAAGAGTTTTCTTGCTCGCCTTGTTGAAGCGGAAATTCTTCGTTTCGGCTTCTTTGACAACTTTCATTCACAAATAGGTTTGGGTGTCGTTGTTATTCAATTATACAAGTATTACTATAGGATTGTTGGTATTATCATTGATTTTAACACTTCTGCTTCTTCCTCTGGTATGGACGATTCATGTGGTCTATTTGGATTTTCTTTTTATTGCTGAAGTTGATGAAATGCTCGATTACATTCGAGAAGTTAACGAAAATTGTTCCAAAGATGATACGTCTCCGACTACTGCACAAGCAGCTTCTAAAATTAATAATTTCTAATTTGCATATACGCTTTTCATATCTATCACGCTCTCTCTCTCTCCATTTTTATTCCTCCTCCTTCCCTTAACACTTTGCTCTGCTATCTCCTTTCCCTACTCTCTCTCTCTCTCCGACTATCTCTCTCTCTCTCTCTCTCTCTAAAAATTGTTTTCATCTTATAAGCAACTGTGCGGGTGTAAATGTTTTCTTATATATTATGTGAAATACAGTATTCAAATTAACTGATTTACATATTCAATCACGAAATTCCACGTCGTTCACGTCATTACATTTCATTTCTTGATTAACGATTGCTGATGAGTGGCTGTGTTTTGTTCAATTCAACTGGAAATAGTTGATTTGAGATTTCTTTTTTATATTTCAGTAATCTGTTAGAGGATTATGAACCTGCATTGACACGTATAAATAGAAGAGAATACGAGAGAAATGGGTTAGAAACGTTAAAACAAAAAAAAATGTTTTTTTTGCTATTTGTGTTAGTTTGTTGTACTCTTGGTGTTCAAGGAGATGTCCGAGGTATTTCAATTATATCTTATTTTTACTTAACGTAATTGAATTTATAATGAAGAAGAATTCATTGATGAAATCACTGGTGCAACGCAAACAGGTGGTACGTTTCTCATTCGCTTGTTTCTTATTTTCATGTAACAAAACATTTTTTTTCTATGTTAAATGTTCAGAAGAATTAGATACGGAAGGTTTTATGGAAGCCATCGTGCTCGGCTTGATTGATTCGCAATTTTCTGTAAAAAAAATTAATTCGAATAACCACATGATGAATGGCAACATCTTCAGAGCTACGATGCAAATGGCGATGGCGGGATTGATGCTGAAGAATTAAATTCTTTAAAGAATCTGATTCCTGCTGATTCGCCTTTGTTAACCAAATTGCAAATCATCAATTATGATGCAAATCGTGATTTAAAATTAGATATGAATGGCATGTAGTTGAAACAAATTATTATTATTATTAATATTCATTTTAGAATTGAAAAACATGGTCAAAAATCATTTGGAAGAGTTCACGGAAGCGATTCAGATGTATTTCCAACAGATGACAAGTAACAGAGATATAACAGATAGCTCATAACTCTTTTCCATTCAGATGGAATGGCACATGAAGAGTTCTAGGTGGTGTAAGCGCTACTCACGGAAGACTTTGTCATCTGATATATAGGCTATTGAAGCTTTTAAATGTAATTGTTGAAAAACCTTTGAGAAGACAAGCTTCTGCGTCTGTCCGAATAACTCAGCTATTCCTTGACGTATTGTTTTATTCAGTAAAATATAAACTACTGCTGGAGCTCCTTAAAGACTTGTCGATGAAGCTTTCTTTCTTTGTAAGCTTCTCTCTCTCTCTCTCTTTCTCTCTCTCTCTCTCTGTGTTGCTCTCTTTCAAATAAAACGTTTTGTTAGTCATCAGCTTGTTAATTTTAATGTTTTTTTTTAATGTGAAACCTGTTGTTATCTGATAGACGACGTTGATAAAATTTGCCAAAGCCAATGGAATGGTAATGAATTGAAGAAGTGTAAATATGACAGAGCAGGAGAAATGAAGACAACACATTATTGTCACTTGAGCGAATATCTATGAAACGAAAATATAAAATAAAAAGTGAATGAAATGAAAGTTTTACTTGCTGTTGAAGTTTCCGATGAGTTGAAGTATTCAAATTAGAAAGTTCGTGGAAGCGATGAGACACAAAAATACAATAAAAAGTATAAAGAGAGCATGTCGTAGCCACAACTACGATGTTATTAAAAACAAAAACTTTACATGTGTACTGAAAAGGAAATGAAAAATTAAGAATATAAGCAACGAATAGAGATATACATCATTAGCTTTGTTGAGGTAAATAAGAGGATCCAATATGCTTGTACATAGTCGACTTGAGAATAAGGGTGGATTGGCAATGAAGATGAAGTAAGAACCGTATAGATAACCCAATGATATAATTAGTTTAAGATGTAAAGGATCGAAGAAGAAGTTCATGATACTCCGTCTAACATAATTCAATTATTAATAGAGGTTAGAGAGAAAAGGAAAGATGATAGAGAGAGATAGAGAGAGAGAGAGAGAGAGAGAGAGAGAGAGAGAGATAGAGAGAGAGAGAGATCAGGAAGCAGTATTACCTGACACCTACTATATCCAATACTCTGTTTAGAACTAATAAGAGACAGAAAAAGCATGAAGTCGACCATCCAGCTGCAATATATATAAGATTAAGTATGTAGAAAAATATATTTGTTTATACCCATATTAAAGCATCCAGATGTATATAGAATATTTGGATAATCACAGAATGAAATTCCGTCATAGATGTAATAGCCTGGAACGTTCTCATTGGAAGCCTTGGATTCTGAACTGCAGATTACCCATTATGAAGTTGTTAATGATTGATGAAGTCATATCAGAAAATCCCAAACAGAACATTATCTTGTAACAAGTGAATTGATACACAGCCTTCCTCCTCATTACAATCAATGCTAATGAGTATAAAACCTGTAATCGTTTTTTTTTGCTTCTTTTCAAATGATATTTTATAAAAACCAGAGTTATAGCGCCATAGCCCATAACAGATAATCCTAATGTTGGACGTTTCACTCGTTCTCTTTCGGGACTTGTTGTATACATCGCACTAAATTGGATATTCGAAACATTTCCCTCTTCAATGAGGGGGCTTTTACCTGCAGTTGTAGAGAGGATTGCGGGTTATGTCGCCATATTGAATTAGAACATTCATTCTCAAACATCAATTATATGTTGAATATCTTCAACGTTTGGAGTATGATGAGTTGAAATAGGAAGGGAATGAACAGTCTGTTCAACGGACAAACGGACGAAGGTATGAGAACTTAACTTTCGTCAATATGAAAGAACAGGACTGCTGTCCGAATGCAAAAGGAGGGTAGAGGTACAATGTACTTAAATTATTATTTTGATAAACTTCTTGGAATAATTAAGTAAAGTTGTTCCTATGTAAAGATCTAATCTGCATGTCCTGAACATAGTCTTTGAACATCACAGTAGATAGCACGATGAAACCTTTGTTGTGGTAAATCTGCGAGACAGTTCATTACGTATGCCTTTCCTGATGCTTTCATTCATTGAAAGATATATGAAAGCAGGTACACCTTTGAGATAAATAGATTGAAGAAGATGTATAAACAACACTATAAACCTGTTGCAAACTGATAGCTCATTTCTGTCGCTTTCAAGACAACCGTTGGAATGCTCAGAAACTGACACGCTGTGAAGATGAGAGAAGCAGAGAAGTTCAAACAGCAAAGTATTGATGCTTGTGCAAAAACCTCAAAATTCCATAGATATGTTTCAAATCATTGGAGGCCAATTTACTTGATTTTTCAGACGACGTTGATTGGAGTTGAGGATTCCAACTTGTTTGAATTGTCTGTAGAGCACGATGCAGTAAAAGATATACAGAGATGATGTGAAGGCAACAACCAGTAGATTATTAAAAAAGAAAAACATATTAGTATACTTAAATTCATTAGGGAGATGATGTAAGCACTGACGTACACATACCAAATGGGATTTATCTTCGAATATCAATGGATCAACTAAACTGATTCCGATTTTGTTAGCAAACAAAGGTGGAGCTGGGAAGAATATAAAATAGGCTCCGTACAATATACCAAAAATAGAATATGCCCGTATACTTTTAGGTGAGAAAAAGAAATGCGTCATGGTGTAGCTTCAAAGGTAGAGTTCATGAAGTATCAAGCTTAATTGAATAACCTGATTTGAGAGATATCAAGGATTCTGTTGAGCACTAAGTATAGGCAAAAGAAACAGGAAGAAGCCCATGTAGCTTAAATATAAAAAAAGTAAAGATTAACTTATTGCACATGTTTGTAACCCATGTTGAAACATCCGGCAATGTAAACGATGTTAGGAGAATCACAGAACTCAATACCATAAGCTAGAAAGTATGCTGAAATCGAATCATAGAATGAGTTTCTCAAGAGAGGTTAACCAATAAAGAAGTCGCTAACAAGCACAGATACCATATCCACACAACCTACGATGAACATTATCTTGTAACAAGCATGTTGATAGAATGCCTTTTTTGAAATAACAACTAAGCATAAAAAATATAAAATCTGAAAGTGACTGGCAAGTAAGAAGCTGTTGAATCTGTAATCCAACTTCAGCTATGCATCCATATACGAACGCTGTGATCCCCCATACAGTATGTCGTTCTCTTTCAGACTCAGGACGTTCAACAGCGGCGCTTCAAACTCAAAATTTAAAAAAAAGAAAAAAGAAATGAAGTAAAGTAAAAAGAATTTTAAGCTGTTAGCTATCTTACCTGCAGTTATACAGAGGATGTCTTGTGATATCTCCTCTGTTGAATATTAGTTCGTTCATTTTGAGAGAAATATAAACAGAAATGATAAAAAAAAGTTTATTGAAAAAGAAAAAAATATAAGGAGAATGAGGCTCCTATCATGAAATGGAGATGTTCAATAAGTTAATGAGGATAATTAATTAATTATTCTTCAGGCTTTAATTTTCTTAAATCTTCATTATTCCCTTGAAACCTTCTTAATAAGGACAAGATGAGGTTGGGAGATGAGACACATCATCAAATGAGCTTCATAGTAAATAATTATTTCCTATCATCACCGTGTATTTTTCATTATAAATTTTCTTCTTTTTTATTTTTTTTATTTTTTTTTTATTAATTATTAAATGCTAGGAGTGTTTGATATGCATAAGTGCATCGTAAATATCATTTTTCATTCGTTACATATAGGAGAGCGGTCGTGCTATTGCTGTCGTTAATGTGCAAGACAGAGACGCATCAAATATGATTTTACTCCATCTCTTATAGTTTTATTTAAAATTAAATAGATGAAAGCTGGAAAGGCTAAAACGACGATAAAAAAAGAAAAAAAATTAAAAAATAGTTTAAATTAAGAATGAACCTGTTCCAACTTGAACAATACCAAATAGTATTGGATATATACTATGTGGTACTTCTATATAAAGAAATAAAGAATATGTAACAGCTGAAAAACAATTTAAAACGCAAATTAATGATGCTTGAGCTAATATCTGAATAAATTATGTAATGAAGTGAAGAACAGTATGTCTGAGATACCTGAATCTGAATACGCTTGTGAGACGTCTTCAACTGTTGAACATTAGAATATCGATTAGATACACATACACAATATATAATATATAAAAAACAACTTATAAAACATACTAAAAAATCATTAAAATCTAATAATTTGTTATGATACTATAATAGATTATAATAAATTATAATAATTAGCATATAGTTAACTATACCAAATCATCTTTGTCCGTAAAGATTTTAGGATTTGTAATGAGTGTTATCAGTTCATCTGTATACAATACTGGCCATGTGAAGAATGAAAAATAGAATCCATAAAGGATGCCAATTACAACGAATATTGGTAGTCGTTTCTCAGCAAATATTTCAATTAGTATACCATTTCTTAATTATATGTATATAATATATAATATACTATATGGTTATTAGATTATATTGAAAGAGATGGTTAAGATTAGAGAGTGTGAGAGAAAGAGAGTAAAACGTACTTGGGATGAACGATATCCAGTAGACGATTGATAACCAAAAAAACACAGAAATAACAATATGATATCCATGATGCTGAAATATTTAATTTATATGATATAGTATAACTAATTGAACTCATCATACCCATATGTATACATGCTATTCCAAAATAGATATTTGGCATATCACAGAATATAGTACCCAATATCATATAAATGCCTTAACAATTATAAATATATTTAACATATAGTTAACTCTAGCTATATGCTAACCAATTATAAAATTCATAATGATGACACAAGATAAATCACTTATACCCAATATAAACATTATTTTGTAACATGAATGTTTAAAATTTTCTTTTCGCTTTATAACAAGTAGGCATAAAACATATAATATCTGTATAAATATAATAATTTAATAATAACTATTCATATAGTTAATGGATATGGTTTACCACTGCAAATATCGAATAAATTATTGAAAGAATACCCCATATTGGTCTTTTATGGCCTACGGGATTCCGATTCATCGCACTGTAAGTATAAGGTGTTAGAGAGGAAGATAGAGAGAAGAAGAAGCAAGAAGAAGCTTTACCTGCAGTTGAAAGCGGGATGAAGAGTGATGTCTCCATAACGAATTATCTCGTTCATTCTGAACAAGAAACTATGAATAAAACAAAATGTGCTCGAGAGATAGAGAGACAGAAAGTGTAAAGCAAAAAAAAGATGAAAAGTATAGAATGAAACAAAAAAAGAAAAAGAAGCTGTTCAACATCCCCTCAAACTACAGAAGGACGGTTGTCATGAGGAGCAAGATGAAAATATTTTATACTCAAGAGATTTAATATTGATGATCTTCATATGAAATGCATGATCTTTGAAAGAAGTGCTCCTTCATTGGGATGTGAAGAAGCTTGTTTCAGATCTATCCATCTGGATAATGACGTCTCGACATCAACCATTTCGCTTTTCAGGTAATTTTCAATCTTTTCTTCTTCATAGCTTGTACTTCATTGCAGGCGAAGACGATAGACGCTCGTTGCAAGGCTTTTCTGATAATTTCAACAACTATCTTGCATCAGATACAGACTTTCTTCATGTCTCCAAGATTATGACAACGTATGTTCATGGCGAAAGCATGAACGATAATGATAAAGAAGTTCAAGTATGACTTCTTGGTTTCATAAACAACTATAAAGATTTTTGAAGTGTGATCTGTTAGAAGAGGACGGAGGCTTACAACTTGATCCAACCAGATTATCATATCAGTTGATTAACTTTATAATTATTCTTGTTTAATTGAACATATACGTTCAGTGAGCGTCTTCGATGGCATTTGAAAGAATTTTGTTACAAAACGTCAAGTCATGGCATTCCCATGTTGGGATCGGCTCCTAACAACATTTACAAGTAAAATAATCCAATTGATTATCCATTCCTAAATAATTTAGATCAATTTGGTTAATTTTATTATTTTGTTGTATCTGCTCCTTCATCTATCAGGCTATAGCCGTGGTGGAAAAATATATGAAAATGGATAAGATAACAGACATTCAATTGAAGTTTGACACAGGTCTTTCTCTTTCAAGCTCTTATAACGTTGTTCATGATTTCAGCCCCGTTCCCATCTATAACTTTGTGCAACTTGAATCCATACAAGGACAGTCTCATACGAAATGAAGAAACTATCAGTAAAATTGTAAAATGATGGCAGATACTTCAACTGAATGTTTTATCTATAGCTGGGTGTTTTCGAAAAGGTCATGTCAGAAGCTGGAGCTGGAAACACCGAACAGAATTTAGAGAATATGGGTAAGATTGAACTGAGTATAGGCCGACTGAAACGAGGAGGAGATAAAGGAAACCTTGAACCTGTAAGTTTACATATTATTCAAAATGGAGCAATGAGTTTGAAGGTAAATGCTGTATGTTCGTGTGAGGACAGTTCGGAATGCGAGGTAGAAACAGATGAGGTTAGTCAGAGGAGAATGAACATCGTCTTAATAAGATTTTAGCAAAAACGTAAATCAGACGTGGGAGAAGAAGAAGCTATGTGCATATGTGCTTTCGATCGGGTAACAGAAGACGCTTGGCCATGCCATCAAAAGGTAATATCATACAGAAAGCTCAAACGATGAATATTGAAGATTCATTGGAAAAACACGACATGTCATGTTTGTGATGATGTGCATAACACCTGCGAGCATAAGCTGAAGAGAGGAGATAAACGTAAAAAAGGAAAACTGCCATGTTTGTGTGAAGAAAAAATGAAATTCTGTCTGCGACATAATCATGTATGAGATTTCTGATTTCGAAACTAATGAGTTAATACGATTGTAGACTCAAACAATACTTAATTTATGGGAAATATTGGGTGCAAACAGCTATGTCGATGCATCGTCAGAGGAAACAGAAGCCCTGGGTTTTGGTGTAATGATAGATGTTTTACTAGATGATAAACAGCTTACAATTCTAGAACATGACAGATGAAGTAGCGATTGTGACAAAAGCCAAAGAGAATATCATTTTTGCGATGAGCGCTCTTAGCGCAGAACAAAGGTTTTTCATAATTTCTAAGAATTTGTTTCCATGAAGATGTTTCAGACGAAATATGTCACAAGCAAAACACAATTTGATTCATAAATGTTCATTCAATGGAAAACCTTGTGATATTGACAGGTGATTTGATATTGAGAACTGCAAGAGAATAATGTGAAGGTTTTGAGGGATTTTGCCATCATTGCCGATCCAACGTTTGGAAACTGTTTCACATTCAATCATGATCGAAATGTTACAAAGAGTAGTATACGAGCTGGTCCCATGTATGGTATTATGATATTTACAATTCAAACAACTAATTAAATATTTAAAATAATAAGGTTTACGAGTAATGTTATTCGTGAATGCTTCTGACTATTTGCCAACTTCTGAAGCTGTTGGTGTTCGACTGACAATTCACGATCAAGAAGAGTTTCCATATCCTGTATAAACAATATATATATATAGTTATAATTGGTTTATCTTAATATTTAAAGGATACGTTTGGATACAGTGCACCCACCGGATATATTTCCTCTTTTGGAATGCGAATGGTTTTCATTATCATTTGTCTTTCTATTCAAATTTCTATTTGACAGAAAAAAATGTCTCGTCTGCCGGCTCCTTATGGAGATTGTGTGGCGGAAGGAGCAACAGCCAATTATATATATAAAGGATTTGCATATTCAACTGAGGTTCGCATACACAGTAACAGAGAACGTTTTTAATTGAAGGGATGCTATCGTACTTGCTTTCAACAGCTAATAATCGACCGTTGTGGATGCGGAGATCCTCGCTTTCCGACAATCGATGATGTTCCTCTGTGTCAAGTATTCAACAAAGAGCATCGTAAGATTATTCAAATTCTTGTTTTAACAGGATACACCTAGTCCTCTTTAGGTGATTGCTTAGAAAAAAGCTCACACGAATTGGGAGACATACATGGATCATTCAAATGCAGGTTTTGTGTCTTCCCTATGATTCAGATGATAAAGAGTTTCAACAACAGATGTCAGCAACCTTGTAATCAAACTGTTTATACTATGTCCTATTCTGAGGCTATTTGGCCTTCACAATCTTTGAACATTTCCCTGGGAACATGTGAGAAAACACAAGAAGAATGCAATGAAGAATACCAGTGAGTTCTCCCTCTGTGTTCATCAATTTGAAATTTGTTTTGCAGAGAGAATGCAGCTATGTTAGAAGTCTTCTATGAAGCCTTGAATTTTGAAGTTTTGACAGAATCTGAAGCATACGGAGTTTGTTTTTCATCATTCCTTTTTCTATCTCTTGGGTGTTTCTTTCAACAGATTGTCAAAATGCTTGCCGATTTTGGAGGACAACTGGGACTATGGTCAGGAGTCTCGTTTATGACAATTTGCGAATTTATTTGTTTGGCATGTGAATTACTATATATGGCAAGTTGTTTCTATTTTTCATTTATGTCACGTGAAGTGAAATGTAAATTCTTATCAATTTACACGTGATATCTTGTCGTTCCACGTGTCAGACGCTTCATCGCCTTCTTCTTCTTCTTCTTCTTTTTTCATTTTGAAATAGAGCGGATGTATAGAGCGGTTGATCATGATGCATTCACTTCATTCTTCTTAAGTACGTTTTTGAAATCATATCTTCATTACAGATTGGAATGCACCATTGGCAGAAGTACAAAAGAAAACAATTTGAACGAATGTGTGATGAATGAAATAAAATTGTTAAATTAAAATAGTTCTGTATTAATATGTTCATTAGATCCAGTTAATAGAGGTATTTGTCCTTTTTCATTTAGAAAAAAAAGAAAAAAATTATTTTTTTTTATTTTCTTCTTCTTCTTTCTGCAAAGGTCTTTGGTCAAAAATCATATGAAGAAGACTGTTTTTTTCATTTATTTTAGAATTAAAAAATAAAAAATAAATAAAAATGGATTTTGTGTGTGTCTGTAGAGAGAGAGAGAGTAAGAGAGAGAGAGAGAGAGAGAGAGAGTTAGAGAGGGAGATAGAGATGAGTAGAAGATGGGGTAATTGCAATTTGTGCTTTTCACTTTTGACGAAAATGTCACTTTCATTCACGAAAAAAAAGAACTGGAATTGAAGACAAAATTTATCTAATTCTTCTCTATTTGGAAGTAAATTTGAATGAAATAATCACAAAAGGAAAGAAAAAGTTTAAAAGGAGACGGGAGATTTGCGAAAAGAATTAAGATTGAGATCTTGTTTTTTGCAGTCGACTGTCAGTACAGAAGAACAAAGTGAGAAAAAGAGAGAGAGAGAGATATATACATTAGAAGAGAGAGAGAGAGAGAGAGAGGGAATAGATGGATAAAAGAGATATTCAACCCCCCCTGAAAAATGAAGGAATATAGAGAGAAAGAAGAATGGGCTAGATCTGCTTGTTTGAGATTGATTTGGCCATATATGGAGATACTCTCATACTAAATCACATACAAACATCTTATATGGAGTATCGTTAAAGACCGGCTAATCAGAAGATGACGTCGACTGTTGTCCACTTTGGCTTATTTTCTATTTTTTTGTTTTTTTTCTCTTTTATAACAGGCTATTCATTCCATATTTCACATTAACTGAAAATAAGAGATTTTGGTTAGAAAGTGTTTGGGAGAGTGGGCTATTGGTGGTGGGGATGTGGACGATGGGAGGGCTGGATGAAAGGGTGGTGGGGGTGGATAAAGTGACCTTGAGAGGTAGTCTCTCAACCTCTATTCGCCTTTCCTCGCTTTCTCTCTATCTCTCTCTACCTCTCTCTCTCTCTCTCTTTTGAAATCTTTTGAATAAGTGTGTTCCATGAACCATTTGCCATTCATTCCATATCCAACCGATAACTTTCTCCGAATATCCTGAAACTTTCTTTAAAATATATTTATTTTTCACAAAAATTCATTTGACTCCCATGAGATAAACTGGAGAAAAAAGAAAATTTTGATTACAATCTCCGTAAAAGTTTGTTTGACACCAATTACTGAACCATAACCGTATTTGGACTGTCATAAATGGATCAAAAATATTAAAAAAATACAAAAAATTAGATGAAAAGGTCATTTGGGTTGTCATTAACCTGTTTTTTCATGACTTGTCCTTACTTCCAATTATCATTAATATCTCATTTGTTTTTCAATCCATAAATTCTACTTTAAAATGAATCTTTGTCGTTGTGGTTGTCATCATCATCATCATCATCTCATTGCCTGCTCATCATGGATATTCAGAATTTTGAAAAACACAAAGCAAAAAGTTTTTTTTTTTTTAATTTCAAAAATCTCTCAAGGCCAATCCATTTTCAAAATGAATATTCTCAACGTTCTTATCTAATCAGTCAATGACTTTTTCAATAAATATTTCATTGTTTTCAAACCTCAATTTTCTATTTATTTTTATTTTATTTCAAAACTTCATTCCTTTAACTGTATAATTGGAAGAAAATAATTTAAAATAATTATTTTCAGGATGGATTTCATAATTTATATAATTGTATTATTAATATTCATATTTGGAGTACTATATCTGCTCTATATTCCTCTGCCGTCAGATATTGCGGATCGAAAGAAATTACAATTTTTTGAAATAGTTATGAGATTATCAAATGAATATATTGTATGTAAATCATATTTAAATTATAATATTAATTTATATCCTTTTAAGGGTGATTTAATTGAAAATTCATTGGGATCTAGAGCACGGAATACATATACACGCTTTCTTATGAGAGTTGCATTCATTATACCATTTCGATGTCCGGAGGATATAAATGTATTCCATCTAATCATACTATATACTATATGTATGCATAATTAAGGTTCATAATGATGTGATAGGTGGAGTGAGAGTTCGAGTATATAGTTCGTTGGAAAAAAAATCTAAATCAGCCATGATTTATATACATGGAGGTGGATGGTCAGTCATGAAACCAGGTCTTTTCTCTCTTTTCATCTGCTTTTCTATTCTTCAATACATTTATAGAATATTATGATCCGATGATGTTTTCATTTGTACATAACCTAGGAATCACTATATTCTCAATAGATTATCGATTAGCTCCAGAATTTCCATTTCCTGCTGGATTAGATGATTGTGTGAAAGTTGTTACAACTTTGTATGAAGAACGGTATTCCAATAATAATATAATTCATATAGTTTATCTTTTACAGTCATGAAGCTTATGGTATCGATCGAAATAAAATGTTTATCGCCGGAGATAGCGCCGGAGGAAACCTAACAGCTTCCACAACTCAGCGATTAGCCAATAATAACTTGAACTTCATCAAGGTTACCTCTTTCATTGACCTTTATAACAGATTTTTATATTTTCAGTGTCAAATTCTCATTTATCCAGTCATTCATGTATTTGGTTTCCAATCACCATCCTACTTGGAACATTTCAAACTGTAAACTTTTGTATGATTTCGATAGCTCATTCACATGTTTCAAGATTCAAAGGCACATCCATCTTGAGCCCTGCTGCTATGGCGAGATGGACCTTGTTCTACATGGGAATAAGAGCAAATCAAAGTAATATCGCAAAATTACTGAAGAATCAACATATCTCCGAGTAAGCCTGGGTTCTGTTGAGAACTCGCTCATCGGTTTGTTTCAGAGATTTGAAAAGCTCGCCAGAATTCGGAAAACTCTTAAGTAGTGCGAAGCTTCCGAAGGAGATAATTGCGGGTTCTTCAGTAGATGCTGAAGAGTTTGAGGTAAGTGGAAAAACCTTAGATGAGAAAAACGAGAGTTGTTTTCCAGCCGGATAAAGAACTGAGTGAAAAAATTAGTAAATTGGGTACTGATCCTTGGTTATCCCCCATTTTTGGAGTAACATCAGATCTACCACCAACATTAGTAATAACACAGGGATATGATATATTGAGGTGAATAAAGATAGGAAGAGACTTTCCATGATGATATTATTTCAGAGATGAAGGTATTCTTTATGCTAAACGGTTGAAAGAATGTAATGTGGAGTGCGAGTGGAAGCACTACAAGAATGGATATCATGCCATATTCAATATGCCCAAATCTCCTTTGAGAAAAGTTGTTGCTCAGGATACTTTCAATTTTATCCGAAAATATCTTTAAATAGTCATTATTTCATTATTTGATTCATACTTCTAGTCAGGTTGCATATTGTATTTGCTCATACACAAACGAGTTCATTTTCATAAAAAAAAACATTTTTAATGTTGTACAAAATTAATAAATCCGTTGCTAGTTACCCTATATTATCGAAATGCTCACGAGCAGTTTCATTGAACATCAATCAGTAAATCTCAAAATATCTCAAAACTCTTTTCACCCGATTGAAATACGGTCATTTCTAGTATAAGTTAGGAAGATAGCAGATCGCTGATTCATTCCTTCCGGGAAAAAGTTTAATAATTTAATACTTATATAGTTGTTATTAACGTTATTATTATCGTTTCAATGTTGTAGTAGTATTGATTGCTGAATATTCACAATTCTATTTTCCATTTGATTCTACAGTTTCGATATGATCATAACGAGAGGTGTGTATATGTAGTGGTTTCCTCGAATGATGAGAAATAGTCTTTTCAGTTCTTTACTATTACTTCTACAGAGTTCTCTCCCTTTTCTATTCTTTGCAGTGAATTTTTGGTTTTTCCGGTAGTGTCCGTAACTAATTATCCTCTATTTGTCTTTTCTGATTGGTTCCTCTCCTTATGTTTTTCCCGAATTGTTCGAAAATTTCTGGGATGTACCATATTTACGCATAAAAAGCGTTGTTGGTAACCATCCTAACTATCGTTCATTCCACAATGTGGTCGCAACGCTATTACATCAGCGTCATTTCGAATTACTACTTATACTTGATCTGTTTCGTTCTGAAGCATGTTCTTCTCTGATTCATTCCTGCAGTGCTATAGCAAAACTACTTAAGCATCTCATGTATTGAAGCTCAGGTTATGATAATTCGTTATCAGCGTAATCTATTCACGCTTGGCTCTTTGTGATTCCGTTCAAGGTCACTGTGCATTCTTTTAATACAAAGTTCAGGTGTGCTGATATCAAAGAGCTTTAATAGCTTGAGTATCTTAAATTTCGGTTTTGATTTTGTGAGTTGCGATACGAGAAAGGCTCTATGGCATCTTCTTGCAATTCCTATCCATCTTCAACGATGAAACACTATGAAACAATTACTGTACAACACTGATCATTAGATCCTCGAATTTTGCAATAAATTTCATTAGCTGATCTCCATCATCACTACT